CCCCTCTCTCTCTCTACCCCTCTCTCTCTACCCCCCTTCTTACCCCCTCTCTCTCTCTACCCCCTCTCTCTCTCTACCCCCTCTCTCTCTACCCCCCCTCTCTCTCTACCCCCTCTCTCTCTACCCCCCTCTCTCTCTCTACCCCCCCTCTCTCTAACCCCCCCTCTCTCTCTACCCCCTCTCTCTCTACCCCCCTTCTTCCCCCTCATCTCTCTACCCCCCCTCTCTCTCTACCCCCCCTCTCTCTAACCCCCTCTCTCTCTACCCCCTCTCTCTCTACCCCTCTCCTCCTCTACCCCCCTTCTTACCCCCTCTCTCTCTACCCCCCCCTCTCTCTCTACCCCTCTCTCTCTACCCCCTCTCTCTCTACCCCTCTCTCTCTACCCCCCTCTCTCTCTACCCCCCTCTCTCTCTACCCCCCTCTCTCTACCCCCTCTCTCTCTACCCCCTCTCCCCCCTACACTATGTCTATGCTCCCCCTGTGTGTTTCTGTATTTGACGACGCGTGCTGCACCTGCACGCAGTGCCACGGCCTCCCACGGGCAGCTCAACAACTCCACGCGGAGCTCCCCGTCTCGTGCCAGCGAGCACGCGGCCTGCTGCTCCTCCTCATCCTCATCCTGCTCATCCTGCTCATCATCCTCATCCTGCTCCTCCTCATCCTCATCCTGCTCATCCTGCTCATCCTGCTCCTCCTCCTCATCCTGCTCCTCATCCTGCTCCTCCTCCTCCTCCTCATCCTGCTCCTCCTCCTCCTCCTCATCCTGCTCCTCCTCATCCTCCTCCTGCTCCTCATCCTCCTCCTCCTCCTCCTCCTGCTCCTCCTCCTGCTCCTCCTGCTCCTCCACCTCCTGCTCCTCCTCCTCCTGCTCCTCCACCTCCTCCTGCTCATCCTCATCCTCCTCATCCTCCTCCTCCTCCTCCTGCTCCTCCTCCACCTCCTGCTCCTCCTGCTCCTCCTCATCCTGCTCCTCCTCCTGCTCCTCCTCCACCTCCTCCTGCTCCTCCTGCTCCTCCTCCTCCTGCTCCTCCTCCTGCTCCTCCTCATCCTCCTGCTCCTCCTCCTGCTCCTCCTCATCCTCCTCATCCTCCTGCTCCTCCTCCTCCTCCTGCTCCTCCTCATCCTGCTCCTCCTCCTCCTGCTCCTCCTCCTGCTCCTCCTCATCCTCCTGCTCCTCCTGCTCCTCCTCCTCATCCTGCTCCTCCTCCTGCTCCTGCTCCTCCACCTCCTCCTCCTCATCCTGCTCCTCCTCCTGCTCCTGCTCTTCCTCATCCTCCTCCTGCTCCTCCTCCTGCTCCTCCTCATCCTCCTCCTCCTGCTCCTCCTGCTCCTCCTCCTCCTCATCCTCATCCTCCTCCTGCTCCTCATCCTCCTCCTGCTCCTCATCCTCCTCCTGCTCCTGCTCCTCCTCCTCATCCTGCTCCTCCTCATCCTGCTCCTCATCCTCCTCCTCCTCCTGCTCCTCCTCCTCCTGCTCCTCATCCTCCTCATCCTCCTCCTCCTGCTCCTCCTGCTCCTCCTCCTGCTCCTCCTCCTGCTCCTCCACCTCCTCTTGCTCCTGCTCCTACTCATCCTCCTCCTGCTCCTCCTCCACCTCCTCCTCCACCTCCTCCTGCTCCTCCTCCTGCTCCTCATCCTCCTCCTGCTCCTCCTCCAGCGCCCACTGCTCCTTCAAGGCCCGCACGGCGTGGGGCAGCCACGCATGGCGAAACTCCTCACTCCATCTCTCTCTCTCCATCTCTCTCTCACTCTCTCTCCATCTCTTCATCCCTCTCCATCTCTCACTCTCTCTCCATCTCTCTCTCCATCTCTCTCTCACTCACTCTCACTCACTCTCTCCATCTCTTCATCCCTCTCTCTCACTCACTCTCCCTCCATCCCTCTCCCCTCTCTCCCTCCATCTCTCTCTCTCCATCTCTCTCTCTGCATCTCTCTCTCTCCATCTCTCTCTCTGCATCTCTCTCTCCATCTCTCTCTCCATCTCTCTCTCCATCTCTTCATCCCTCTCTCTCTGCTCTCCTCCCCTCTCTCTCCTCCATCTCTCCCCCCCTCTCACTTTCCCTCTCACCCTCCCTCTCCCCCCCTCCCTCTCCCTCTCCCCCCTCTCCTCTCTCACCCCTCCCTCTCCCCCTCTCTCCTCTCTCCCCTCTCTCTCTCCCCCCTCTCCCTCTCCTCCCTCTCCCACCTCCCTCTCCCCCTTCTCCCCTCTCTCCCCTCTCTCCCCCCTCTCTCCATCTCTCCCCTCTCTCTCCCCCCTCTCTCCCCTCTCTCTCTGCCCTCTCCCCCCCCCTCCCTCTCCCCTCTCCCCTCTCCTCTCTCACCCCCTCTCTCTCCCTCTCTCCACTCCCCCCCCCTCTCTCCCCCCTCCCTCTCTCCCCCCCCCCTCTCTCCATCTCTCCCCCCCTCTCCCCCCCTCTCCCCCCCCTCCCCTCCCCTCTCGCCCGCACAACTTAACGCGAGTAGAACACAGCGGTGCGAGCGTCCAGGAGCGAGTGCACAGACAAAGCCGCCCCGTGTAGCCTCCCAGCAGGCTGCCGCAAGGGGGAGGGGGTGATGGGAGCACGTGCCGCTGTGGGTGGCGAGCAAGGGGAAGGGTGATGGGTGATGGGAGCACGTGCCGCTGTGAGTGGCGAGCAGGGGGGGTGATGGGGGGGGGGTGATGGAAGCACGTGCCGCTGTGAGTCACGAGCAAGAGGGGGTGATGGGAGCACGTGCCGCTGTGAGTGGCGAGCAGGGGGGGTGATGGGAGCACGTGCCGCTGTGAGTGGCGAAGTCCGCCTTCGTCTTCCCACCCCACCCCGACGTTTGCCACGAGCCACGCGCCGCTCGAGGCTGAGTCGACCTAGGGGAGGCTCCCCCCCTCCTCCCCTCCCCCCCTCCTCCCCTCCCCCCTCCTCCCCTCCCCCCTCCTCCCCTCCCCCCTCCTCCCCTCCCCCCTCCTCCCCTCCTCCCCTCCCCCCTCGGGATGGTGGCGGTGTGTGTGGAGTCGCGTCCCTTCTCATCGCTCATCGCTTCGTGCGGCTTCGCTTCGTGGCGTGACGGCACGGCGCTTAGTGGCGAATGGCGGTTGTTGTCTCTCTGTGTGTCTGTGTGTGTCTGTGTGTGTCTGTCTGTGTGTCTGTGTGTGTCTCTGTGTGTGTGTGTCTCTCTGTGTGTGTCTCTGTCTGTGTGTGTGTCTCTCTGTGTCTCTGTGTGTGTCTGTGTCTCTGTGTGTCTCTGTGTGTGTGTCTCTGTGTCTCTCTGTGTGTGTGTCTCTCTGTGTGTCTCTGTGTCTGTGTGTGTCTGTGTGTCTCTGTGTCTCTCTGTGTGTGTGTCTCTCTGTGTGTGTCTCTCTGTGTATGTCTCTCTCCGTGTGTCTCTGTGTATGTCTTTCTGTCTGTGTCTCTGTGTATGTCTCTCTCTATCTCTGTGTGTCTGTGTGTCTCTCAGTGTATGTCTCTCTCTTTGTGTCTCTATGTATGTCTCTCTCTCTCTCTCTGTGAGTCTCTGTGTATGTCTGTGTGTCTCTCTCTGTGTGTCTGTGTATGTCTCTCTGTCTGTGTCTCTGTGTATGTCTCTCTCTATCTGTCTCTCTGTGTGTCTGTCTCTGTGTGTGTCTCTCTGTGTGTCTGTCTCTGTGTATCTCTCTCCGTCTCTCTCTGTGTATGTCTCTCTGTGTGTCTGTCTCTGTGTATGTGTCTCTGTGTATGTCTGTGTCTCTGTGTATGTGTCTCTCTGTGTATGTCTCTGTATGTCTCCTTGTCTCTCCGTGTGTCTGTCTCTGTGTATGTCTCTCCGTCTCTGTGTATGTGTCTCTCTGTGTATGTCTCTGTGTCTCTCTCTCTGTCTGTCTCTCTCTGTGTGAGTCTCTCTCTCTCTTTCTGTGTCTCTGTGTGTGTCTCTCTCTCTGTGTGTCTCTCTCTCCGTGTCTCTCTCTCCGTGTGAATCTCTGTCTGTCTCTCTCTCTGTATCTGTCTCTCTGTCTGTCTGTGTCTCTCTGTGTCTGTGTCTCTCTGTGCCTGTGTGTCTCTGTGTCTCTCTCTCTGTGTCTCTCTCTGTCTCTCTGTCTGTGTGTGTCTCTCTCTGTGTGTCTCTCTCTGTGTGACTCTGTGTCTGTGTGTCTCTGTCTCTCTCTGTGTGTCTCTCTCTGTCTCTCTGTGTCTCTGTCTCTGTGTCTCTCTCTCTGTGTCTCTCTCCGTGCGTCTCTCTCCGAGCTTGCATTTGGCTACAGTTCTCACCTGAAGACGTTTGCTTCTGCCGCAATGGAAACGTCATCTATTATTTTATTGTTTTTCTTTGCACGTGACTTGCCCGAAAGGACAAAACAACCAGCAACACAACAGGGTTGCTCTTAAGATGTCCAAACACCAAGAAGTCAGGGCACCAAGTTTCCGCATCAACCACGTAGCGGCGGGGCTTGCGATGAACGTGGGAGTCACAAACAAAAAAACCATCGCCTCCGATCACAAATCCACGACGCGTCTCGCCACCAGCGTAGCGGACCAGAGGACAACCTTCCTGAAGAAGGCGACCGGGACCAGGGGGGACAGGGGTGGGTGGGTGGGTGAGAAATAGGATTTAAAAAATTTTGTTGGGGGTACCATCAAAGTGTGGGCTCCGACACGGGTTATAACTTGCAGTCGTTCATTATGAGACCTCCTTTGCCAGAAACAAGATATAGGAATAGGTTTTACCCTTTTAACTGGCACAAAAACTGACACCTTTATTCAAGGCATCGTGTTTGCAATGACCACAACACAAGCAGTCAAAATGCCAACAAAAAAGACAACTCTGATAATATTATTACAAGCAGTCAAAATGCAAACAAAAAAGACAACTCTGATAATATTATTATTATCAGACAACTCAAAAAAGACAACTCTGATAATATTATTATTATCAGACAACTCTGATAATAATAATATTATCAGAGTTGTCTGATAATAATAATTATTATCAGAGTTGTCTGATAATAATAATATTATCAGAGTTGTCTTTTTTGTTTGCATTTTGACTGCTTGTGTTGTGGTCATTGCAAACACGATGCCTTGAATAAAGGTGTCAGTTTTTGTGCCAGTTAAAAGGGTAAAACCTATTCCTATTGCAGTCGTTCATCCAATAAAATATTCGGTACAGCTTTGGCTGTGGTTTCTCCCCCCTCTCTCTCACTCTCCCCTCTCTCTCACTACGGATGGTGCAGCAAAACCTCGTGGACTGCGCGTAACTTTGTCCGCGCGCGAACATTTTAAGTAAATATTAACTCGATAAACGAGCGAGGTGGTCTTGCAATACGAGCAGCAGCAGCAGCACGTGCACACGCCTTGTACTGCCGAGCGTCACGTGATCACGCAACTGTGACGCACTACGCTGTGCTTTGATGTACGAGCGCTTTGATGTACGAGTGCTCTGGATGGCAAACACGTTCACCGGAGCGGATTGTGCTCGCAATCAAAAGGTTTTTACTGTACACTAGTATATACTACACAATACACTACTATACACTACACTATATACTACACTACTATACACTACACTATACACTACTATACACCACACTATATACTACACTACTATACACTACACACTACACTACACTATACACTACACTATACACTACTATACACCACACTATATACTACACTACTATACACTACACTGTACACTACACTATACACACCACACTATATACTACACTACTATAAACTACACTATACACTACACTGTACACTACACTATACACTACACTGTACACTACACTATACACACCACACTATATACTACACTACTATACACTACACTATACACTACACTGTACACTACACTATACACTACACTATACACTACACTATACACTACACTGTACACTACACTATACACTACACTACTATACACTACACTATACACTACACTACTATACACTACACTATACACTACACTACTATACACTACACTGTACACTACACTACTGTATCCGCGGGCCCAGGCTGCCCTGCTGCCCCACGTGGCGCTCAACCAGCTCGCCGCTGGGAGATGGCGGGCCGGGGGTCGGGCCGGGGTCGGGCCGGAGGTCGGGCCGGGGGTCGGGCCGGAGGTCAGGCCAGAGGTCGGGCCGGGGGTCGGGCCGGGGGTCGGGCCGGGGGTCGGGCCGGGGGTCGGGCCGGGGGTCGGGCCGGGGGTCGGGCCGGGGGTCGGGCCGGAGGTCGGGCCGGGGGTCGGGCCGGAGGTCGGGCCGGGGGTCGGGCCGGGGGTCGGGCCGGAGGTCGGGCCGGGGGTCGGGCCGGAGGTCGGGCCGGGGGTCGGGCCGGGGGTCGGGCCGGGGGTCGGGCCGGGGGTCGGGCCGGGGGTCGGGCCGGGGGTCGGGCCGGAGGTCGGGCCGGGGGTCGGGCCGGAGGTCGGGCCGGGGGTCGGGCCGGAGGTCGGGCCGGGGGTCGGGCCGGGGGTCGGGCCGGAGGTCGGGCCGGGGGTCGGGCCGGAGGTCGGGCCGGGGGTCGGGCCGGGGGTCGGGCCGGGGGTCGGGCCGGGGGTCGGGCCGGGGGTCGGGCCGGGGGTCGGGCCGGGGGTCGGGCCGGGGGTCGGGCCGGGGGTTGGGCCGGAGGTCGGGCCGGGGGTCGGGCCGGGGGTCGGGCCGGAGGTCGGGCCGGAGGTCGGGCCGGAGGTCGGGCCGGGGGTCGGGCCGGAGGTCGGGCCGGAGGTCGGGCCGGAGGTCGGGCCGGAGGTCGGGCCGGGGGTCGGGTCGCCTCGTGGCCGACGGGAGTTGGCGGGCCGGCGGCGCTGACGACGGCGAGCTCCTCTCCATCTTGAACACCGGCACCCCGCACCTTGCTCCGCCCCCCTGCGCTACCCGGCGACTAAGCCCCGCCTCTGGCCACGCCCCTCCTGGAACTAAGCCACGCCTCTGGCCACGCCCCTCCTGGAACTAAGCCCCGCATCTGTCCACGCCCCTCCTGGAACTAAGCCCCGCATCTGGCCACGCCCCCTCCTGGAACGAAGCCCCGCCTCTGGCCACGCCCCTCCTGGAACCAAGCCCCGCATCTGGCCACGCCCCTCCTGGAACTAAGCCCAGCCTCTGGCCACGCCCCTCCTGGAACTAAGCCCCGCCTCTGGCCACGCCCCTCCTGGAACTAAGCCCAGCCTCTGGCCACGCCCCTCATGGAACTAAGCCCCGCCTCTGGCCACGCCCATCCTGAAACTAAGCCCCACCTCTGGCCACGCCCCCTCCTGGAACCTTGGGGAATGCTCCCAGAGGCTTCCCGGGTGGCTCCGCCCCCTCATCCCTCCCCACCTCCGCCATAACACAGCACATGGCGCTCTCATTACAAAAGTATGAACATTTCAAGTAGATTTTACACTTTCTGGCAAACAAACAGGCGGTGTTAAGATGTTTAAACACCAAATAGAAATGTAGAGTCTCCCCTCCCCCCACCCCACAATGGAACAAGTTCGTCGGTTTAGAAATACTGAGGCTGGGCCCTGCCTAGGATCCATCCTGGGTTCAACCTGCAGGCCAGATTGCATGAGGAGCTCAGAGATCGCTGGAAGATCTGGACACGGTCCCCGTCGCCGTGCGTGTCTGCGGGCGCTTGTGTAGACTCGCACAGAGACTCACAGACTCACCTCACACAGTAGAGACCCACAGACTACTCACACAGTAGAGACCCACAGACTACTCTCACAGAGACCCACAGACTACTCTCACAGAGACCCACAGACTACTCGCACAGAGACCCACAGACTACTCACACACAGAGACCCACAGACTACTCACACAGTAGAGACCCACAGACTACTCACACAGTAGAGACCCATAGACTACTCACACAGTAGAGACCCACAGACTACTCACACAGTAGAGACCCACAGATTACTCACACAGTAGAGACCCACAGACTACTCACACAGTAGAGACCCACAGACTACTCACACAGTAGAGACCCATAGACTACTCACACAGTAGAGACCCACAGACTACTCGCACAGTAGAGACCCACAGACTACTCGCACAGTAGAGACCCACAGACTACTCACACAGTAGAGACCCACAGACTACTCACACAGTAGAGACCCATAGACTACTCACACAGTAGAGACCCACAGACTACTCACACAGTAGAGACCCATAGACTACTCACACAGTAGAGACCCACAGACTACTCACACAGTAGAGACCCACAGACTACTCACACAGTAGAGACCCACAGACTACTCACACAGTAGAGACCCACAGACTACTCACACAGTAGAGACCCACAGACTACTCACACAGTAGAGACCCACAGACTACTCACACAGTAGAGACCCACAGACTACTCACACAGTAGAGACCCACAGACTACTCACACAGTAGAGACCCACAGACTACTCACACAGTAGAGACCCACAGACTACTCGCACAGAGACCCACAGACTACTCACACAGTAGAGACCCACAGACTACTCACACAGTAGAGACCCACAGACTACTCACACAGTAGAGACCCACAGACTAGTCACACAGTAGAGACCCACAGACTAGTCACACACACAGAGACCCACAGACTACTCACACAGTAGAGACCCACAGACTACTCGCACAGACTCGCACAGAGACTCACAAACTCGCACGGAGCCCACCCAGAGACATGTTTAAGTCAACAAATGATCCGGGTGACAATTTTCGCAGAAAAAAACTAAAAAAAACCGGCACGCGACATCCCGTGTATCCGCCACCCTCCCCGTCAACTCCGCGCGACTCCCCAGCAACCGCTGTCGTGAGCCCAGCCGGTAAACCGAGTTGCCTGGCACTGGGGCTGAGTTCCACAGAGATGCACCCGGGGTAACTGCGGGAGATCGCAAGTTGACCCAAGGTGACTGTCGTTGAACGGGGGTTGACCAGAGTTGAGTGTCGTTGAGCGGGGGTTGACCAGAGTTGAGTGTCGTTGAACGGGGGTTGACCAGAGTTGAGTGTCGTTGAGCGGGGGTTGACCAGAGTTGAGTGTCGTTGAACGGGGGTTGACCAGAGTTGACTGTTGTTGAACGGGGGTTGACCAGAGTTGAGTGTCGTTGAACGGGGGTTGACCAGAGTTGAGTGTCGTTGAACGGGGGTTGACCAGAGTTGAGTGTCGTTGAACGGGGGTTGACCAGAGTTGAGTGTCGTTGAGCGGGGGTTGACCAGGGTTGAGTGTCGTTGAGCGGGGGTTGACCAGAGTTGAGTGTCGTTGAACGGGGGTTGACCAGAGTTGAGTGTCGTTGAGCGGGGGTTGACCAGAGTTGAGTGTCGTTGAACGGGGGTTGACCAGAGTTGACCGTTGTTGAACGGGGGTTGACCAGAGTTGACCATCGTTGAACGGGGGTTGACCAGAGTTGAGTGTCGTTGAACGGGGGTTGACCAGAGTTGAGAGTCGTTGAACGGGGGTTGACCAGAGTTGAGTGTCGTTGAACGGGGGTTGACCAGAGTTGAGTGTCGTTGAGCAGGGGTTGACCAGCGTTGAGTGTCGTTGAGCGGGGGTTGACCAGAGTTGAGTGTCGTTGAACGGGGGTTGACCAGAGTTGAGTGTCGTTGAGCGGGGGTTGACCAGAGTTGAGTGTCGTTGAGCGGGGGTTGACCAGAGTTGAGTGTCGTTGAACGGGGGTTGACCAGAGTTGAGTGTCGTTGAACGGGGGTTGACCAGAGTTGAGTGTCGTTGACCGGGGGTTGACCAGTGTTGAGTGTCGTTGAGCGGGGGTTGACCAGAGTTGAGTGTCGTTGAACGGGGGTTGACCAGAGTTGAGTGTCGTTGAGCGGGGGGTTGACCAGAGTTGAGTGTCGTTGAGCGGGGGTTGACCAGAGTTGAGTGTCGTTGAGCGGGGGTTGACCAGAGTTGAGTGTTGTTGAACGGGGGTTGACCAGAGTTGAGTGTCGTTGAACGGGGGTTGACCAGAGTTGAGTGTCGTTGAACGGGGGTTGACCAGAGTTGAGTGTCGTTGAACGGGGGTTGACCAGAGTTGAGTGTCGTTGAGCGGGGGTTGACCAGAGTTGACCGTCGTTGAGCGGGGGTTGACCAGAGTTGAGTGTCGTTGAGCGGGGGTTGACCAGAGTTGAGTGTCGTTGAACGGGGGTTGACCAGAGTTGACCGTCGTTGAGGGGGGGTTGACCAGAGTTGAGTGTCGTTGAGCGGGGGTTGACCAGAGTTGAGTGTCGTTGAACGGGGGTTGACCAGAGTTGAGTGTCGTTGAACGGGGGTTGACCAGAGTTGAGTGTCGTTGAACGGGGGTTGACCAGAGTTGAGTGTCGTTGAACGGGGGTTGACCAGAGTTGAGTGTTGTTGAACGGGGGTTGACCAGAGTTGAGTGTCGTTGAACGGGGGTTGACCAGAGTTGAGTGTCGTTGAACGGGGGTTGACCAGAGTTGACCGTCGTTGAGCGGGGGTTGACCAGAGTTGAGTGTCGTTGAACGGGGGTTGACCAGAGTTGAGTGTCGTTGAACGGGGGTTGACCCGAGTTGACCTTTGCTGAACGGGGTTGACCAGAGTTGAGTGTCGTTGAGCGGGGGTTGACCAGAGTTGAGTGTCGTTGAACGGGGGTTGACCAGAGTTGAGTGTCGTTGAACGGGGGTTGACCAGAGTTGAGTGTCGTTGAACGGGGGTTGACCAGAGTTGAGTGTCGTTGAACGGGGGTTGACCAGAGTTGAGTGTCGTTGAACGGGGGTTGACCAGAGTTGAGTGTCGTTGAACGGGGGTTGACCCGAGTTGACCTTTGCTGAACGGGGTTGACCCCAGGTGACTCTCTCCCCCCCCGCACTCCCCCCCCCACTCTCCCCCCCCCCCCCCCCCACTAGTATCTCGTCCTGGGGAAGTCCTCTCCCTTCCCCTCCCCCTCCCGCTGCTGCTGCTGCTGCGGCTGCCCCTGTAGGCGATGGCCTCGGTGGTCACGCTTGCACCGCTGGGCCTCCACGGCAGCGCCCGGCGGAGCCGACGACCGCGGCGACGGAGCCGACGGAGCTGACGACCGTGGCGACGGAGCTGACGACCGTGGCGACGGAGCTGACGGAGCTGACGGAGCTGACGGAGCTGACCGTGGCGACGGAGCTGACCGTGGCGACGGAGCTGACGGAGCTGACGGAGCTGACCGTGGCGACGGAGCTGACCGTGGCGACGGAGCTGACGGAGCTGACCGTGGCGACGGAGCTGACGGAGCTGACCGTGGCGACGGAGCTGACCGTGGCGACGGAGCTGACGGAGCTGACCGTGGCGACGGAGCTGACGGAGCTGATGGAGCTGACGGAGCTGACCGTGGCGACGGAGCTGACGGAGCCGACGGAGCCGACCGTGGCGACGGAGCCGACAGAGACGACCGCGGTGACGGCGCCAGCGGCGCCGACGGAGCCGACGGAGCCGACGGAGCCGCCGACCGCGGCGCTTGGAGGGCTTGGGCCGCATCTCGTAGCCGGCGCCGTTCTCGCCGCGAGGGCCTCGGCTCCACCCACGACGGCCGGCGGGACGGTGTGGCGGGGCCGTGAGGCCGGACACGGGAAGAGGTGGCGACGCCGGCGGTGGCGTTGGAGGCGGTGGTGGCGGTGGTGGCGTTGGAGGCGGTGGTGGCGGTGGTGGCGTTGGAGGCGGTGGTGGCGGTGGCGTTGGAGGCGGTGGTGGCGGCGTTGGAGGTGGCCTGCTCGTGGAGAGACGCAGACAAGGAGACACGGAGACAGACAGACACACAGACACGGAGACACAGAGAATCGTAGACTCGGAGACGACACGGGGACTCGGGGACAGACAGAGACACAGAGACACACAAATAACACGGAGACACAGACACTCGGAGACAGAGACACAGAGACACACAGATTACACGGAGACACAGACACTCGGAGACAGAGACACAGAGACACACAGATTACACGGAGACACAGACACTCGGAGACAGAGACACAGAGACACACAGATTGCACGGAGACACAGACACTCGGAGACAGAGACACAGAGACACACAGATTACACGGAGACACAGACACTTGGAGACAGAGACACAGAGACACACAGATTACACGGAGACACAGACACTCGGAGACAGAGACAGAGACACACAGATTACACGGAGACACTCAGAGACAGAGTGATGTTAGTGATGTCCATGATGATGGTGGTGATGTCAGTAGTGATGTTGGTAGTGGTGGCAATGGTGATGATGTTGGTGGTGATGGTGTTGGTGGTGGTCTTGGTGGTGGTGGCGGTGATGGCGGTGATGGTGGTGATGTCAGAGGTGATGTTGGTGGTGGTGACGATGGTGATGATGGTGATGATGATGGTGATGATGTTGGTGATGGTGATGATGTTGGTGATGGTGATGATGTTAGTGATGGTGATGATGTTGGTGATGATGGTGGTGGTGACGATGGTGATGATGTTGGTGATGGTGATGATGTTGGTGATGGTGATGATGTTGGTGATGGTGATGATGTTGGTGATGATGATGGTGGTGACAGTGATGATGTTGGTGATGATGGTGGTGGTGACGATGGTGATGATGTTGGTGACGAAGGTGATGATGTTGGTGATGGTGATGATGTTGGTGATGGTGATGATGTTGGTGATGGTGATGATGATGTTGGTGGTGACGGTGATGATGTTGGTGATGATGGTGGTGGTGACGATGGTGATGATGTTGGTGATGATGGTGGTGGTGACGATGGTGATGATGTTGGTGATTGTGATGTTGGTGATGGTGACGATGGTGATGTCAGAGGTGATGTTGGTGGTGGTGATGATGGTGGTGATGGTGATAATGTTTGTGATGGTGGTGATGGTGACGGTGATGATGTTGGTGATGGTGGTGACGGTGATGATCTTTGATGATGTTGGTGGTGTTGACGATGATGATGTTGGTGGTGACGATGGTGATGATGGTGATAATGGTGGTGACGGTGATGGTGTTGGTGACGATGGTGATGATGGTGGTGATGATGTTGGTGATGTTGATGATGTTGGTGATGTTGATGATGTTGGTGGTGTTAACGATGATGATGTTGGTGTTGACAATGGTGATGATGTTGGTGATGGTGATGATGTTGGTGATGATTGTGGTGGTGGTGGTGACGATGGTGAAGATGGTGTTGACGATGGTGATGATGTTGGTGAAAGTGATGATGGTGATGATGTTGGTGAAGTTGATGATGGTGATGATGTTGGTGATGGTGATGACGGTGGTGGTGACGATGGTGGTGACGGTGATGATGTTGGTGATGATGGTGGTGGTGACGATGGTGATGATGTTGGTGATGATGGTGATGATGATGATGTTGGTGATGGTGATGATGTTGGTGATGGTGTTGACGATGGTGATGATGTTGAAGATGGTGATGGTGGTGGTGGTGGCAGATGTCTCACCGCACAATCCTGTGCTCTCTGCAACGCAGAGACTCCGACCCTGGGACTAGGGGTCACATCCACCACCTCTTCCTCCTCCTCCTCGTCCACCACCTCCACCTCTTCCTCCTCCTCCGTGTCAACCTCTGCAGTGAACACAGAAAACCACGGCATGGCGCTCGTGCCAGGCTAGGTGCAGGTAATGTGGGGGAGACGCTGAGGGAGACACTGAGGGAGACGCTGAGGGAGACACTGAGGGAGACACTGAGGGAGACACTGAGGGAGACGCTGAGGGAAAAGTGGGGGAGACACTGAGGGAGACACTGAGGGAGACACTGAGGGAGACACTGAGGGAAAAGTGGGGGAGACACTGAGGGAGACACTGGGGGAGACGCTGAGGGAGACGCTGAGGGAGACACTGAGGGAGACATGGGGGAGACACTGAGGGAGACACTGAGGGAGACGTGGGGGAGACACTGAGGGAGACACTGAGGGAGACACTGAGGGAGGCGCTGAGGGAGACACTGAGGGAGACACTGAGGGAGACACTGAGGGAGACGTGGGGGAGACACTGAGGGAGACACTGAGGGAGACACTGAGGGAGACACTGAGGGAGACACTGAGGGAGAAGTGGGGGAGACACTAAGGGAGACACTGAGGGAGACGCTGAGGGAGACACTGAGGGAGACGCTGAGGGAGACACTGAGGGAGACACTGAGGGAGACACTGAGGGAGACACTAAGGGAGACACTGAGGGAGACGTGGGGGAGACGTGGGGGAGACACTGAGGGAGACACTGAGGGAGACACTGAGGGAGACGCTGAGGGAGACACTGGTGGGAGACGCTGAGGGAGACACTGAGGGAGACACTGAGGGAGACGTGGGGGAGACACTGAGGGAGACACTGAGGGAGATGTGGGGGAGACGTGGGGGATACACTGAGGGAGACACTGAGGGAGACACTGAGGGAGACAGTGGGGGAGACACTGAGGGAGACACTGAGGGAGACACTGAGGGAGACACTGAGGGAGACACTGAGGGAGACACTGAGGGAGACACTGAGGGAGATACTGAGGGAGACGCTGAGGGAAAAGTGGGGGAGACACTGAGGGAGACACTGAGGGAGACGCTGAGGGAGACACTGAGGGAGACGCTGAGGGAGACACTGAGGGAGACGTGGGGGAGACAGTGAGGGAGACACTGAGGGAGACACTGAGGGAGACACTGAGGGAGACGTGGGGGAGACGCTGAGGGAGACACTGAGGGAGACACTGAGGGAGATGCTGAGGGAGACACTGAGGGAGACACTGAGGGAGACACTGAGGGAGACGTGGGGGAGACACTGAGGGAGACACTGAGGGAGACACTGAGGGAGACGTGGGGGAGACGTGAGGGAGACACTGAGGGAGACACTGAGGGAGACACTGAGGGAGATGCTGAGGGAGACACTGAGGGAGACACTGAGGGAGACACTGACTGAGGGAGACACTGAGGGAGACACTGAGGGAGACGTGGGGGAGACGTGAGGGAGACACTGAGGGAGACACTGAGGGAGACGCTGAGGGAGACACTGAGGGAGACGGGGGGGAGACGTGGGGGAGACGTGGGGGAGACGTGAGGGAGACGTGGGGGAGACACTGAGGGAGACGTGGGGGAGACACTGAGGGAGACGCTGAGGGAGACACTGAAGGAGACGCTGAGGGAGACACTGAGTGAGACACTGAGGGAGACACTGAGGGAGACACTGAGGGAGACACTGAGGGAGACGCTGAGGGAGACACTGAGGGAGACACTGAGGGAGACGCTGAGGGAGACACTGAGTGAGACACTGAGGGAGACACTGAGGGAGACACTGAGGGAGACGCTGAGGGAGACGCTGAGGGAGACACTGAGGGAGACACTGAGGGAGATACTGAGGGAGACACTGAGGGAGACGCTGAGGGAGACACTGAGGGAGACACTGAGGGAGACACTGAGGGAGACGCTGAGGGAGACACTGAGGGAGACACTGAGGGAGACACTGAGGGAGACACTGAGGGAGACATGGGGGAGATGTGGGGGAGACGCTGAGGGAGACACTGAGGGAGACGCTGAGGGAGACACTAAGGGAGACACTGAGGGAGACACTGAGGGAGACACTGAGGGAGACGTGGGGGAGACACTGAGGGAGACACTGAGGGAGACACTGAGGGAGACGCAGAAGGAGACGCTGAAGGAGACACTGAGGGAGACGTGGGGGAGACACTGAGGTAGACGCTGAGGGAGACACTGAGGGAGACGCTGAGGGAGACGCTGAGGGAGACACTGAGGGAGACGCTGAGGGAGACGCTTAGGGAGACGCTGAGGGAGACACTGAGGGAGACACTGAGGGAGACACTGAGGGAGACACTGAGGGAGACTTGGGGGAGACGCTGAGGGAGACGCTGAGGGAGACGCTGAGGGAGACACTGAGGGAGACACTGAGGGAGACGCTGAGGGAGACACTGAGGGAGACACTGAGGGAGACACTGAGGGAGACACTGAGGGAGACACTGAGCGAGACACTGAGGGAGACACTGAGGGAGACGCTGAGGGAGACACTGAGGGAGACGTGGGGGAGACACTGAGGGAGACACTGAGGGAGACGCTGAGGGAGACACTGAGGGAGACATTGAGGGAGACACTGAGGGAGACACTGAGGGAGACACTGAGGGAGACACTGAGGGAGACACTGGGGGAGACGTGGGGGAGACACTGAGGGAGACACTGAGGGAGACGTGGGGGAGACACTGAGGGAGACACTGGGGGAGACGCTGAGGGAGACGTGGGGGAGACACTGAGGGAGACACTGAGGGAGACACTGAGGGAGACGCTGAGGGAGACACTGAGGGAGACGCTGAGGGAGACACTGAGGGAGACACTGAGGGAGACGCTGAGGGAGACACTATGGGAGACACTGTGGGAGACACTGAGGGAGACACTGAGGGAGACACTGAGGGAGACGCTGAGGGAGACACTGAGGGAGACACTGAGGGAGACACTGAGGGAGACGCTGAGGGAGACGTGGGGGAGACACTGAGGGAGACGTGAGGAAGACACTGAGGGAGACACTGAGGGAGACGCTGAGGGAGACGCTGAGGGAGACACTGAGGGAGATGCTGAGGGAGACACTGAGGGAGATGTGGGGGAGACACTGAGGGAGACGTGGGGGAGACACTGAGGGAGACACTGAGGGAGATGTGGGGGAGACACTGAGGGAGACGTGGGGGAGACACTGAGGGAGACGCTGAGGGAGATGCTGAGGGAGACGTGGGGGAGACGCTGAGGGAGACGCTGACGGAGACACTGAGGGAGACACTGAGGGAGACGCTGAGGGAGACACTGAGGGAGACGCTGAGGGAGACACTGAGGGAGACACTGAGGGAGACACTGAGGGAGACACTGAAGGAGACGCTGAGGGAGACGTGAGGGAGACACTGAGGGAGACACTGAGGGAGACACTGAGGGAGACACTGAGGGAGACACTGAGGGAGACACTGAGGGAGACACTGAGGGAGACACTGAGGGAGACACTGAGGGAGACACTGAGGGAGACACTGAGGGAGACACTGGGGGAGACGTGGGGGAGACGCTGAGGGAGACACTGAGGGAGACGCTGAGGGAGACACTGAGGGAGATGCTGAGGGAGACACTGAGGGAGATGTGGGGGAGACACTGAGGGAGACGTGGGGGAGACACTGAGGGAGACGCTGAGGGAGATGCTGAGGGAGACGTGGGGGAGACGCTGAGGGAGACGCTGAGGTGAGTAGTGGTGAGTAGTGGTGAGTAGTAGTGGTGAGTGTGGTGAGTAGTAGTGGTGAGTAGTAGTGGTGAGTGTGGTGAGTAGTAGTGCAGAGTAGTGGTGAGTAGTAGTGGTGAGTAGTAGTGGTGAGTGTGGTGGTGAGTAGTAGTGGTGAGTGGTGGTGAGTAGTAGTGGTGAGTAGTAGTGGTGAGTAGTAGTGGTGAGTAGTAGTGGTGAGTAGTATTGGTGAGTAGTAGTGGTGAGCGAGTGGTGAGTGGTGGTGAGCGAGTGGTAAGTAGTAGTGGTGAGTAGTGGTGAGTAGTAGTGGTGAGTAGTGGTGAGTGTAGTAGTGGTGAGACACTGAGGGAGACACTGAGGGAGACACTGGGGGAGACGTGGGGGAGACACTGAGGGAGACACTGAGGGAGACACTGAGGGAGACGCTGAGGGAGACACTGAGGGAGACGCTGAGGGAGACACTGAGGGAGACACTGAGGGAGACGCTGAGGGAGACACTATGGGAGACACTGAGGGAGACACTGAGGGAGACACTGAGGGAGACACTGAGGGAGACGCTGAGGGAGACACTGAGGGAGACACTGAGGGAGACACTGAGGGAGACGCTGAGGGAGACGTGGGGGAGACACTGAGGGAGACGTGAGGGAGACACTGAGGGAGACACTGAGGGAGACGCTGAGGGAGACGCTGAGGGAGACACTGAGGGAGATGCTGAGGGAGACACTGAGGGAGATGTGGGGGAGACACTGAGGGAGACGTGGGGGAGACACTGAGGGAGACACTGAGGGAGATGTGGGGGAGACACTGAGGGAGACGTGGGGGAGACACTGAGGGAGACGCTGAGGGAGATGCTGAGGGAGACGTGGGGGAGACGCGGAGGGAGACGCTGACGGAGACACTGAGGGAGACACTGAGGGAGACGCTGAGGGAGACACTGAGGGAGACGCTGAGGGAGACACTGAGGGAGACACTGAGGGAGACACTGAGGGAGACACTGAAGGAGACGCTGAGGGAGACGTGAGGGAGACACTGAGGGAGACACTGAGGGAGACACTGAGGGAGACACTGAGGGAGACACTGAGGGAGACGCTGAGGGAGACACTGAGGGAGACACTGAGGGAGACACTGAGGGAGACGCTGACGGAGACACTGAGGGAGACACTGAGGGAGACACTGAGGGAGACACTGAGGGAGACACTGAGGGAGACACTGAGGGAGACACTGAGGGAGACACTGGGGGAGACGTGGGGGAGACGCTGAGGGAGACACTGAGGGAGACGCTGAGGGAGACACTGAGGGAGATGCTGAGGGAGACACTGAGGGAGACGTGAGGGAGACACTGAGGGAGACGCTGAGGGAGATGCTGAGGGAGACGTGGGGGAGACGCTGAGGGAGACGCTGAGGTGAGTAGTGGTGAGTAGTGGTGAGTAGTAGTGGTGAGTGTGGTGAGTAGTAGTGGTGAGTAGTAGTGGTGAGTGTGGTGAGTAGTAGTGGTGAGTAGTAGTGCTGAGTAGTGGTGAGTAGTAGTGGTGAGTAGTAGTGGTGAGTGTGGTGGTGAGTAGTAGTGGTGAGTGGTGGTGAGTAGTAGTGGTGAGTAGTAGTGGTGAGTAGTAGTGGTGAGTAGTAGTGGTGAGTAGTATTGGTGAGTAGTAGTGGTGAGTAGTATTGGTGAGTGGTGGTGAGCGAGTGATAAGTAGTAGTGGTGAGTAGTGGTGAGTAGTAGTGGTGAGTAGTGGTGAGTGTAGTAGTGGTGAGTAGTGGTGAGTGTACTAGTGGTGAGTAGTGGTGAGTAGTGGTGAGTAGAAGTGGTGAGTGTAGTGGTGAGTAGTAGTGGTGAGTAGTATTGGTGAGTAGTAGTGGTGAGTAGTGGTGAGTAGTGGTGAGTAGTATTGGTGAGTAGTAGTGGTGAGTAGTAGTGGTGAATAGTGGTGAGTAGTGGTGAGTGAATGGTGAGTAGTGGTGAGTAGTAGTGATGAGTAGTAGTGGTGAGTAGTAGTGGTGAGTAGTGGTGAGTAGTGGTGAGTAGTAGTGGTGAGTAGTAGTGGTGAGTAGTAATGAGTAGTAGTGGTGAGTGTAGTGGTGAGTGGTAGTGGTGAGTAGTAGTGGTGAGTAGTGGTGAGTGTAGTGGTGAGTAGTGGTGAGTATTGGTGAGTAGTAGTGGTGAGTAGTAGTGGTGAGTAGTAGTGGTGAGTAGTAATGAGTAGTAGTGGTGAGTGTAGTGGTGAGTGGTAGTGGTGAGTAGTAGTGGTGAGTAGTGGTGAGTGTAGTGGTGAGTAGTGGTGAGTAGTGGTGAGTAGTAGTGGTGAGTAGTAGTGGTGAGTGGTGGTGAGTAGTGGTGAGTGGTGGTGTGTAGTGGTGAGTACGAGTGGTGAGTAGTGGTGAGTAGTAGTGGTGAGTAGTGGTGAGTAGTAGTGGTGAGTAGTAGTGGTGAGTAGTAGTGGTGAGTAGTGGTGAGTAGTAGTGGTGAGTAGTTGTGAGTAGTGGTGAGTAGTAGTGGTGAGTAGTAGTGGTGAGTAGTAGTGGTGAGTAGTAGTGGTGAGTGGTGGTGAGTAGTGGTGAGTGTAGTGGTGAGTAGTGGTGAGTATTGGTGAGTAGTAGTGGTGAGTAGTAGTGGTGAGTAGTGGTGAGTAGTGGTGAGTAGTAGTGGTGAGTGGTGGTGAGTAGTGGTGAGTGGTGGTGAGTAGTGGTGAGTACTAGTGGTGAGTAGTGGTGAGTAGTAGTGGTGAGTGGTGAGTAGTAGTGGTGAGTAGTAGTGGTGAGTAGTAGTGGTGAGTGGTAGTGGTGAGTAGTAATGGTGAGTAGTAGTGGTGAGTAGTGGTGAGTAGTGGTGAGTAGTAGTGGTGAGTAGTAATGGTGAGTAGTAGTGGTGAGTAGTGGTGAGTAGTGGTGAGTGAATGGTGAGTAGTGGTGAGTAGTAGTGGTGAGTAGTGGTGAGCGAGTGGTGAGTAGTGGTGAGTGAATGGTGAGTAGTGGTGAGTAGTGGTGAGTGGTGGTGAGTAGTAGTGGTGAGTAGTGGTGGTGAGTAGTGGTGAGTAGAAGTGGTGAGTAGTGGTGAGTAGTAGTGGTGAGTAGTAGTGGTGAGTAGTAGTGGTGAGTAGTGGTAAGTGAATGGTGAGTAGTGGTGAGTGAATGGTGAGTAGTGGTGAGTAGTGGTGAGTGGTGGTGAGTAGTAGTGGTGAGTAGTAGTGGTGAGTAGTGGTGAGTAGTAGTGGTGAGTAGTAGTGGTGAGTATTGGTGAGTAGTGGTGAGTAGTATTGGTGAGTAGTGGTGAGCGAGTGGTGAGTAGTGGCGAGTGAATGGTGAGTAGTAGTGAGTGGTGGTGAGTAGTAGTGGTGAGTAGTGGTGAGTAGTGGTGAGTAGTAGTGGTGAGTAGTAGTGCTGAGTATTGGTGAGTATTGGTGAGTAGTGGTGAGTAGTATTGGTGAGTAGTGGTGAGTAGTATTGGTGAGTAGTGGTGAGTAGTGGTGAGTAGTATTGGTGAGTAGTGGTGAGTAGTATTGGTGAGTAGTGGTGAGTAGTAGTGGTGAGTAGTAGTGGTGAGTAGTGGTGAGTAGTAGTGGTGAGTAGTGGTGAGCGAGTGGTGAGTAGTAGTGGTGAGTAGTAGTGGTGAGTAGTAGTGGTGAGTAGTGGTGAGTAGTGGTGAGTGGTGTTGAGTAGTAGTGGTGAGTAGTGGTGAGTAGTATTGGTGAGTAGTGGTGAGTAGTGGTGAGTAGTAGTGGTGAGTATTGGTGAGTAGTGGTGAGTAGTGGTGAGTAGTGGTGAGTAGTAGTGGTGAGTAGTAGTGGTGAGTAGTGGTGAGTAGTAGTGGTGAGTAGTTGTGAGTAGTGGTGAGTAGTAGTGGTGAGTATTGGTGAGTGGTGTTGAGTAGTAGTGGTGAGTAGTAGTGGTGAGTAGTGGTGAGTAGTATTGGTGAGTAGTGGTGAGTAGTGGTGAGTAGTAGTGGTGAGTATTGGTGAGTAGTAGTGGTGAGTAGTTGTGAGTAGTGGTGAGTAGTGGTGAGTAGTATTGGTGAGTAGTGGTGAGTAGTGGTGAGTAGTATTGGTGAGTAGTGGTGAGTAGTGGTGAGTAGTAGTGGTGAGTAGTAGTGGTGAGTAGCAGTGGTGAGTAGTGGTGAGTGGTCTCACTGTTCAGCTGTCCCCACTGTCGCTGGATCCAGGCGCGGTACTGAACCACCTCCTCCGCCACACGCACCACGCGGCCCAACAACCTGCACACAACCACCACAACCACCACCACCATCACCACCACCACAACCACCACAACCACAACCACCACCATCACCACCACAACCACAACCACCACCACAACCACAAATACCACAACCACAATATCAGCATCACCACCACCACAACCACAACCACCACAACCACAACCACCACCACCACCACCACAACCACAACCACCACCACAACCACAACCACCACAACCACAATATCAGCATCACCACCACCACAACCACAACCACCACAACCACAACCACCACCACCACCACCACAACCACAACCACCACCACAACCACAACCACCACAACCACAATATCAGGATCACCACCACAACCACCACCACAACCACCACCACCACCACAACCACCACCACCACCACAATATCAGCATCACCACCACAACCACCACCACAACCACCACCACAACCACAACCACCGCTACAACCACAATATCAGCATCACCACCACAACCACCACCACAACCATCACCACAACCACCACCACAACCACCACAACTACCACAACCACAGCCACCACCACAATATCAGCATCACCACCACAACCACCACCACAACCACCACCACCATCACCACCACCACAATATCAGCATCACCACAACCACCACCACCACAACCACCACCACAACCACAACCACCACCACAATATCAGCATCACCACCACAACCACCACCACAACTACAACCACCATCACCACAACCACAATATCAGCATCACCACCACAACCACCACAACCACCACAACCACCACTACAACCACCACCACAACCACAACCACCACCACCACAATATCAGCATCACCACAACCAGAACCACCACAACCACCACCACAATATCAGCATCACCACCACAACCACCACCACCACAACCACCACCACCACAACCACCACAACCACCACCACCACAACCACCACAACCACAACCACCACAACCTTCACCACCACAACCACCACCACAACCACCACCACAACCACAACCACCATCACCACAACCACAATATCAGCATCACCACAACCACCACCACCACCACAACCACCGCCTAAACCACCACCACAACCACAATATCAGCATCACTACAACCACCACCACAACCACCACCACAACCACCACCACCACAACCACCAACACCACAACCACAACATGAACATCGTCACAACCACCACAACCACCAAAACCATCCCAACCACCATCACAACATGAAAATCGTGACAACCACAACACAACCACCAACAACCACCACCACAACATCAACATCACCACAACCAACATCACAACCACCACCACCACCACAACACAACCACAACCACCACAACCACAACATCACAACATGAAAATCGTCGCAACCAAAACACAACCACCACCAACAACTACCACCAACAACCACCACAACCACATCAACATCACCACAACCACCACCACAACATCGTCACAACCACCACAACCACCATCACAACATGAAAATCGTCACAACAGTGAGTGGTGAGTGAGTGGTGAGTGAGTGGTGAGCGAGTGGTGAGTGAGTGAGTGAGTGGTGAGCAAGTGGTGAGTGAGCAAGAGGTGAGCGAGTGGTGAGCGAGTGGTGAGCGAGTGGTGAGTAACTCACGAGCGTGAGCCCTGGCTGGAGCGGTAGTGGTGAGCGAGCGGTGAGTGAGTGGTGAGTAGTGGTGAGTGAGTGGTGAGTAGTGGTGAGCGAGTGGTGAGTGAGCGAGCGGTGAGTGAGTGGTGAGTGAGTGAGTGGTGAGTGAGTGGTGAGTGAGTGAGTGGTGAGTGAGTGGTGAGTGAGTGGTGAGTGAGTGAGTGAGTGGTGAGTTAGTGGTGAGTGAGCGAGTGGTGAGCGAGTGGTGAGCGAGTGGTGAGTGAGTGGTGAGCGAGTGGTGAGTAACTCACGAGCCCAGGCTGGAGCGGTAGTGGTGAGCGAGTGGTGAGTGAGTGGTGAGCAAGTGGAGAGTGAGCGAGTGAGTGGTGAGCAAGTGGTGAGCGAGTGGTGAGCGAGCGGTGAGTGAGCGAGTGGTGAGCGAGTGGTGAGTAACTCATGAGCCCTGGCTGGAGCGGTAGTGGTGAGCGAGTGGTGAGCGAGTGGTGAGCGAGTGGTGAGCGGTAGTCGTGAGCGAGTGGTGAGTGAGCGAGTGGTGAGCGAGTGGTGAGTGAGCGAGTGGTGAGCGAGTGGTGAGCGAGTGGTGAGCGAGCGAGTGGTGAGCGAGCGAGTGGTGAGTGAGCGAGTGGTGAGCGAGTGGTGAGCGAGTGGTGAGCAAGTGGAGAGTGAGCGAGTGGTGAGCGAGTGGTGAGCGAGTGGTGAGCGAGCGGTGAGCGAGCGAGTGGTGAGCGAGTGGTGAGCGAGTGGTGAGCGAGCGGTGAGTGAGCGAGTGGTGAGCGAGTGGTGAGTGAGTGGTGAGCGAGTGGTGAGCGAGTGGTGAGTGAGTGGTGAGTGAGTGGTGAGCGAGTGGTGAGCGAGTGGTGAGTGAGTGATGAGTGAGTGGTGAGCGAGTGGTGAGCGAGTGGTGAGTAACTCACGAGCCCTGGCTGGAGCGGTAGTGGTGAGCGAGTGGTGAGTGGTGAGTGAGCGAGTGGTGAGCGAGTGGTGAGTGAGTGGTGAGCGAGTGGTGAGTAACTCACGAGCCCTGGCTGGAGCGGTAGTGGTGAGCGAGTGGTGAGCGAGTGGTGAGTGAGTGGTGAGCGAGTGGTGAGTAACTCACGAGCCCTGGCTGGAGCGGTAGTGGTGAGCGAGTGGTGAGCGAGCGAGCGAGTGGTGAGTGAGCAAGTGGTGAGTGAGTGGTGAGTAGCTCACGAGCCCTGGCTGGAGCGGTAGTGGTGAGCGAGTGGTGAGTGAGTGGTGAGCGAGTGGTGAGCGAGTGGTGAGCGAGCGAGTGGTGAGTAGCTCACGAGCCCTGGCAGGAGCGGTAGTGGTGAGCGAGTGGTGAGTGAGTGGTGAGCGAGTGGTGAGCGAGTGGTGAGCGAGTGGTGAGTAACTCACGAGCCCTGGCTGGAGCGGTAGTGGTGAGCGAGTGGTGAGTGAGTGGTGAGCGAGTGGTGAGTGAGCGAGTGGTGAGTGAGCGAGTGAGTGGTGAGCAAGTGGTGAGCGAGTGGTGAGCGAGCGGTGAGTGACCGAGTGGTGAGCGAGTGGTGAGCGAGTGAGTGGTGAGTGGTGAGTGAGCGAGTGATGAGCGAGTGGTGAGTGAGTGGTGAGCGAGTGGTGAGTAACTCACGAGCCCTGGCTGGAGCGGTAGTGGTGAGCGAGTGGTGAGCGAGTGGTGAGCGAGTGGTGAGTGAGCGAGTGGTGAGTAACTCACGAGCCCTGGCTGGAGCGGTAGTGGTGAGCGAGTGGTGAGCGAGTGGTGAGCGAGTGGTGAGTGAGCGAGTGGTGAGTAACTCACGAGCCCTGGCTGGAGCGGTAGTGGTGAGCGAGTGGTGAGCGAGTGGTGAGCGAGTGGTGAGCGAGCGAGTGGTGAGTAACTCACGAGCCCTGGCTGGAGCGGTAGTGGTGAGCGAGTGGACTCACGGCGTGGCTCAGGGTGAGGAAGGCCGAGCTGAATGCCTGTCGCACGTGGTGAGTGAGCGAGTGGTGAGTGAGTGGTGAGCGAGTGGGTGAGTGAGTGGGTGAGTGAGCGAGTGGTGAGCGAGTGGTGAGTGGTGAGCGAGCGAGTGGTGAGTAGCTCACGAGCCCTGGCTGGAGCGGTAGTGGTGAGCGAGTGGTGAGTGAGCGAGTGGTGAGCGAGTGGTGAGCGAGCGAGTGGTGAGTGGTGAGTGAGCGAGTGATGAGCGAGTGGTGAGTGAGTGGTGAGCGAGTGGTGAGTAACTCACGAGCCCTGGCTGGAGCGGTAGTGGTGAGCGAGTGGACTCACGGCGTGGCTCAGGGTGAGGAAGGCCGAGCTGAATGCCTGTCGCACGTGGAGAGCTCCAAATGAGCTTCGGCCCACGTCGTTACCTGGGGCACAACCATTACCACAAACATTACCACAAACATTACCACAAACATTACCACAAACATTACCACAAACATTACCACAAACATTACCACAAACATTACCACAAACATTACCACAACCATTACCACAAACATTACCACAAACATTACCACAAACATTACCACAAACATTACCACAACCATTACCACAACCATTAACACAACCATTACCACAAACATTACCACAAACATTACCACAAACATTACCACAAACATTACCACAAACATTACCACAAACATTACCACAACCATTACCACAACCATTACCACAAACATTACCACAACCATTACCACAACCATCACCACAACCATCACCACAACCATTACCACAACCACCACAACCATTACCACAACCATTACCACAACCATTACCACAAACATTACCACAAACATTACCACAACCATTACCAAAACCATTACCACAACCACCACAACCATTACAACAACCACCACAACCACCACAACCACCACAACCATTACCACAAACATTACCACAAACATTACCACAACCATTACCACAACCATTACCACAACCATTACCACAAACATTACCACAACCATTACCACAACCATTACCACAACCACCACAACCATTACCACAACCATTACCACAACCATTACAACAACCATTACCACAACCATTACCACAACCACCACAACAACCACAACAACCATTACAACAACCATTACAACAACCATTACAACCACCACAACCACCACAACCATTACAACCATTACCACAACCATTACCACAACCATTACAACAACCATTACCACAACCATTACCACAACCATTACCACAACCACCACAACAACCATTACCACAACCATTACAACAACCATTACCACAACCATTACCACAACCATTACAACAACCATTACAACAACCACCACAACCACCACAACCATTACAACCATTAGAACAACCATTACCACAACCATTACCACAACCATGACCACAACCATGACCACAACCAGTACAACAACCACAACAACCATTACCACAACCACCACAACAACCACAACAACCATTACAACAACCATTACAACAACCATTACAACCACCACAACCACCACAACCATTACAACCATTACAACAACCATTACCACAACCATTACAACAACCATTACAACAACCATTACCACAACCACCACAACAACCACAACAACCATTACCACAACCATTACAACAACCATTACCACAACCATTACCACAACCATTACAACAACCATTACAACAACCACCACAACCACCACAACCATTACAACCATTAGAACAACCATTACCACAACCATTACCACAACCATGACCACAACCATGACCACAACCATGACCACAACCATTACAACAACCACAACAACCATTACAACAACCACCACAACCACCGCAACCATTACCACAACCATTACCACAACCATTACCACAACAACCATCACAACAACCACAACAACCATTACAACAACCACCACAACCACCACAACCATTACCACAACCACCACAACCATTACAACAACCACCACAACCACCACAAACATTACAACCATTACCACAACCATTACCACAACCATTACCACAACCATTACCACAACCACCACAACCATTACCACAACCACCAAAACCATTACCACAACCATTACCATACCACAACAACCACCACAACCACCACAACAACCACCACAACCATTACCACAACCACCACCATCAATCACCACCACAAAACACGATAACCACCATCACCTCTCGCCATAGACTACACACACAGTGACGTCAGTGACGGTAGTAGCTGTGAGTGACACACAGGCTGATGACTGATCCTAGCTACAGACTACACACACAGTGACGTCAGTGACGGTAGTAGCTGTGAGTGACACGCAGGCTGATGACTGATCCTAGCTATAGACTACACACACATTGACGTCAGTGACGGTAGTAGCTGTGAGTGACACACAGGCTGATGACTGATCCTAGCTACTGACTACACAGGCAGTGACGTCAGTGACGGTAGTAGCTGTGAGTGACAGGCAGGGTGATGACTGATCCTAGCTACAGACTACACAGGCAGTGACGTCAGTGACGGTAGTAGCTGTGAGTGACACGCAGGGTGATGACTGATCCTAGCTACAGGCTACACACACAGTGACGTCAGTGACGGTAGTAGCTGCGGCTGTGAGTGACACGCAGGGTGATGACTGATCCTAGCTACAGACTACACACGCGGTGACGTCAGTGACGGTAGTAGCTGTGAGTGACACGCAGGCTGATGACTCATCCTAGCTACAGACTACACAGGCAGTGACGTCAGTGAGGGTAGTAGCTGTGAGTGACACGCAGGGTGATGACTGATCCTAGCTACAGACTACACAGGCAGTGACGTCAGTGATGGTAGTAGCTGTGAGTGACACACAGGGTGATGACTGATCCTAGCTATAGACTACACACACAGTGACGTCAGTGACGGTAGTAGCTGTGAGTGACACGCAGGGTGATGACTGATCCTAGCTACAGACTACACACACAGTGACGTCAGTGACGGTAGTAGCTGTGAGTGACACGCAGGGTGATGACTGATCCTAGCTAGACTACACACACAGTGACGTCACTGACGGTAGTAGCTGTGAGTGACGCACAGGCTGATGACTGATCCTAGCTACAGACTACACACACAGTGACGTCACTGACGGTAGTAGCTGTGAGTGACACACAGGGTGATGACTGATCCTAGCTACAGACTACACACGCAGTGACGTCAGTGACGGTAGTAGCTGCGAGTGACACACAGGCTGATGACTGATCCTAGCTACAGACTACACACGCGGTGACGTCAGTGACAATAGTAGCTGCGGCTGTGAGTGACACACAGGCTGATGACTGATCCTAGCTACAGACTACACACACAGTGACGTCAGTGACGTCAGTAGCTGTGGCTGTGAGTGACACGCAGGCTGATGACTGATCCTAGCTACAGACTACACACGCAGTGACGTCAGTGACGGTAGTAGCTGTGAGTGACACGCAGGGTGATGACTGATCCTAGCCATAGACTACACACGCGGTGACGTCAGTGACGGTAGTAGCTGTGAGTGACACGCAGGCTGATGACTGATCCTAGCTACAGACTACACACGCGGTGACGTCAGTGACGGTAGTAGCTGTGAGTGACACGCAGGCTGATGACTGATCCTAGCTACAGACTACACACACAGTGACGTCAGTGACGGTAGTAGCTGTGAGTGACACACAGGGTGATGACTGATCCTAGCTACAGACTACACACGCGGTGACGTCAGTGACGGTAGTAGCTGTGAGTGACACACAGGCTGATGACTGATCCTAGCTATAGACTACACACACAGTGACGTCAGTGACGGTAGTAGCTGTGAGTGACACGCAGGGTGATGACTGATCCTAGCCATAGACTACACACACAGTGACGTCAGTGACGGTAGTAGCTGTGAGTGACACGCAGGCTGATGACTGATCCTAGCTACAGACTACACACGCGGTGACGTCAGTGACGGTAGTAGCTGTGAGTGACACGCAGGCTGATGACTGATCCTAGCTACAGACTACACACACAGTGACGTCAGTGACGGTAGTAGCTGTGAGTGACACGCAGGCTGATGACTGATCCTAGCTACAGACTACACACGCTGTGACGTCAGTGACGGTAATAGCTGTGAGTGACACGCAGGCTGATGACTGATCCTAGCTACAGACTACACACACAGTGACGTCAGTGACGGTAGTAGCTGTGAGTGACACACAGACTGATGACTGATCCTAGCTACAGACTACACACGCGGTGACGTCAGTGACGGTAATAGCTGTGAGTGACACGCAGTGCTGATGACTGATCCTAGCTATAGACTACACACACAGTGACGTCAGTGACGGTAGTAGCTGTGAGTGACACGCAGGGTGATGACTGATCCTAGCTACAGACTACACACACAGTGACGTCACTGACGGTAGTAGCTGCGGCTGTGAGTGACGCGCAGGGTGATGACTCATCCTAGCCACAGCCTACAAACACAGTGACGTCAGTGACGGTAGTAGCTGTGAGTGACACGCAGGGTGATGACTGATCCTAGCTACAGACTACACACGCAGTGACGTCAGTGACGGTAGTAGCTGTGAGTGACACACAGGGTGATGACTGATCCTAGCTACAGACTACACACACAGTGACGTCAGTGACGGTAGTAGCTGCGGCTGTGAGTGACACACAGGGTGATGACTGATCCTAGCTACAGACTACACACGCGGTGACGTCAGTGACGCTAGTAGCTGCGGCTGTGAGTGACACACAGGGTGATGACTGATCCTAGCTACAGACTACAGATGCCAGTAGCTGCGGCTGTGAGTGACACGCAGGGTGATGACTCATCCTAGCTACAGACTTACACACGCGGTGACGTCACTGACGGCAGTAGCTGTGAGTGACGTGCAGGGCTGATGACTCATCCTAGCTACAGACTTACACACGCGGTGACGTCAGTGACGGCAGTAGCTGTGAGTGACGTGCAGGGCTGATGACTCATCCTAGCGACTGACCGGGCGTCAGGGGGTCCTCGATGTGGAGCGGCGATGGCCGGAAGGCGCCAGGCCCCGCCCGCGCGCCACCCTTGCCCACGTAGCGGCCGCCGGCCCCCCTCCGCGCTCCCGCCGAGCCCCCCACTCGGATGCCAGCCGCCCCGTAGTTGAACTGCCGCCCGTACAGCTCCAGGAACTCGAGCAGCAGGACCCCGAGGTTCACCGACGGGGCAGCCCCCTCCGACCGCGGGTGAAGCTGAGACGGCGGGCATCCACCGGGGAGGGAGGGGGAGGCGGAGACGGAGAGATTGTAGAGAGGTTGGTGGGTGGGTGGGTCGGTAGGTGGGTAGGTGGGTAGATGGGTGGTTTGGTGGGTGGGTGGTTGGGTGGGTGGGTGGTTGGGTGGGTGGGTAGGTAGGTAGGTGGTTTGGTGGATGGGTCGGTAGGTGGGTGGTTGGGTGGGTGGTTGGGTGGGTGGGTAGGTAGGTGGGTGGTTGGGTGGGTAGGTAGGTAGGTGGGTGGTTTGGTGGGTGGGTCGGTAGGTGGGTGGTTGGGTGGGTAGGTAGGTAGGTGGGTGGTTTGGTGGGTGGGTGGGTGGTTGGTTGGGTGGGTAGGTAGGTAGGTGCGTGGTTTGGTGGGTGGGTGGTTGGGTGGGTGGACGGAGAGAGTTTCTCTCTCCCTGCGTCCCCACGTCCCCAGGTGCCAGCGTCCACGTATCTCTCTCAGCGTGTCCCAGTGACCCCGTGTCTCAGTATCTCCCCGTGTCCCCGTGTCTCAGTATCTCTCTCAGCGTGTCCCAGTGTCCCCGTGTCTCAGTATCTCTCCACGTGTCTCAGTATCTCTCCCCGTGTCTCAGTGTCTCAGTATCTCCCCGTGTCTCAGTCTCTCCCCGTGTCCCCGTGTCTCAGTATCTCTCCACGTGTCTCAGTCTCTCCCCGTGTCCCCGTGTCTCAGTATCTCTCCACGTGTCTCAGTGTCTCTCCCCGTGTCCCGTGTCCCCGTGTCTCAGTATCTCTCCCAGTGTCCCCGTGTCTCAGTATCTCTCCCCGTGTCCCCGCGTCTCAGTATCTCTCCACGTGTCTGAGTGTCTCTCCCCGTGTCCCCGTATCCCCGTCTCTCCCCCCGTGTCCCCGTATCTCTCCCCGTGTCCCCGTATCCCCGTCTCCCTCCCCGTATCCCCGTCTCTCTCCCCGCGTCCCCGCCTCTCCCCGCGTCTCAGTATCTCTCCCCGTGTCCCCGTCTCTCCCCGTGTCCCCGTATCCCCGTCTCTCTCCCCGTGTCTCCGTCTCTCCACGCATCTCAGTATCCCTCCCCGTGTCTCCGTCTCTCCCCGTGCCCCCCGTGTCTCCGTCTCTCCCCCGTGTCTCCGTCTCTCCCCGTGTCCCCGTCTCTCCCCGTGTCCCCGTCTCTCCCCGTGTCTCCGTCTCTCCCCGCGTCTCAGTATCCCCTTCCCCGTGCCCCCCGTGTCTCCGTCTCTCCCCGTGTCCCCGTGTCTCCCCGTGTCTCCGTCTCTCCCCGTGTCCCCGTGTCTCCGTCTCTCCCCGCGTCTCAGTATCCCCTTCCCCGTGCCCCCCGTGTCTCCGTCTCTCCCCGTGTCTCCGTCTCTCCCCGTGTCCCCGTCTCTCCCCGTGTCCCCGTGTCTCCGTCTCTCCCCGCGTCTCAGTATCCCCTTCCCCGTGCCCCGCGTGTCTCCGTCTCTCCCCCGTGCCCGCCCGCGTCCCCGCGCCTGCCTGCAGGAAGCTGACGGTCATGAGCGTGAGGCAGTATGAGGAGACGCCTCCCGTGAAGGCCTCGTTGAGCTCCCGCTGCTGCAGGAACTGCTTCAGCACCAGCACGAGGTACGGCAGGGCCGGGAACGCCTGCGGGAGGGACACAGCCATCGTCTGTCCGCTGCTGGATGAGGCCGCCGCAAGACGCCTACACCTCCGCATGGTCTCTGCAAAATAAAATGACTTCAGGCCCGGTGGGAGGCCTAGCGTAGTTTTTTTTAAGGCCTAGCGGAGGCCTAGCGGATGCCTACTGAGGGTCTATCGGAGACTTGGCGAAGGCCTAGTCGAGGCCTAGTGAAGATCTAGTGGAGACCTAGTGGAGGACCAGTCAAGGCCTAGTGGGGGCCTAGTGAAGGCTCTGGTGGCCTCGCGAGGGTCATAGTGAGGGTCTAGTGAAGAGGCCTCGTGAGGGTGAGGTGAAGGCCAATTAGAAGCCTACTTTTGGTCTAGGAGGCCCAGTGAATGCCTAGTGGAGGCCTAGTGAAGGCTCTGGTGGCCTCGCGAGGGTCATAGTGAGGGTCTAGTGAAGAGGCCTCGTGAGGGTGAGGTGAAGGCCAATTAGAAGCCCAGTGAAGGTCTAAGAGTCCCAGTGAAGGCCTAGTGGAGCACTAGTAGAGGACTAGTGGAGGCCTAGTAGAGGCCTAGTGGAGGCCCAGTGGACGCCCAGTGGAGGCCCAGTGGAGGCCCAGTGGAGGCCTAGTGGAGGCCTAGTTGAGGCCTAGTGGAGGCCTAGTTGAGGCCCAGTGAAGGCCCAGTGCAGGCCCAGTGCAGGCCGAGCGAGGGTCTCGTGGAGGCCTACTTAAGGCTCTGGTGGCCTCGTGAGAGTCATGGTGAGGCTCTAATGGAGGCCTAGTAGAGGCTTAGTGGAGGCCTAGTGGAGGCTCAGTGCAGGCCCAGTGAAGGCCTCGCGAAGGGGCCTCGCGGAAGAGGCCGTCACCTGCATGAACGAGCGGGTGAGTTCGGCCGAGCGAATGCCGTTCTCCATGTTGAAGCTGATGTCCACCTTCACGTCTGAGCGAGCGTCCATTATCTTGATGATCGGCACCTGCGGCACGCCGATGACACACGTGTCAGACCTGGTGCTGTCCGCGTCTCTCCCGATTCCCCTCGCCTCTGTGCAACTCCCCCCCCATCAGCCTAGGTCCCCGTTGAGTCTCTACCTCAAGAGTCCCCGTGAGTCTCTACTCCCACAAGTCCCCGCGAGTCTCTGCTCCGTGAGTCTCTCCCCATGAGTCTCTACACCATGAGTCTCCGTGAGTCTCTCCCCGTGAGACTCTAGACCACGACTCTCCGTGAGTCTCTCCCTGTGAGTCTCTCCCCATGAGTCTCTCCCTGTGAGTCCCTACACCACGAGTCTCCGTGAGGCTCTCCCTGTGAGTCCTCCCTGCGAGTCTCTCCCTGTGAGTCCCTACACCACGAGTCTCCGTGAGTCTCTCCCTGTGAGTCTCTCCCTGTGAGTCTCTCCCTGTGAGTCTCCGTGAGTCTCTCCCTGTGAGTCTCTACACCACGAGTCTCTCCCTGTGAGTCCCTATACCACGAGTCTCCGTGAGTCTCTCCCTGTGAGTCTCTACACCACGAGTCTCCGTGAGTCTCTCCCTGTGAGTCTCTCCCTGTGAGTCTCTACCCATGAGTCTCTCCCTGTGAGTCTCTCCCTGTGAGTCTCTACACCACGAGTCTCCGTGAGCCTCTCCCTGCGAGTCCCTCCCTGTGAGTCTCTCCCTGTGAGTCCCTACACCACGAGTCTCCGTGAGTCTCTCCCTGCGAGTCTCTACACCACGAGTCTCTCCCTGTGAGTCTCTACACCACGAGTCTCCGTGAGTCTCTCCCTGTGAGTCTCTCCCTGTGAGTATCTCCCCGTGAGTCTCTCCCCGGGAGTCTCTCCCCGCGAGTCTCACCGTGGCTCTATCGAGGACTCGCACTGAGCCCTGTGCAGCGACTCCGTGAGTCTCTCCCTGTGAGTCTTTCCCTGTGAATCTCTGTGAGTCTCTCCCCGTGAGTCTCTCCCTGTGAGTCCCCACACCACGAGTCTCCGCGAGTCTGTCCCCGTGAGTCTCTCCGTGTGAGTCTCTCCCTGTGAGTCTCTCCCTGTGAGTCTCTCCCTGTGAGCCTCTCCCTGTGAGTCCCTACACCACGAGTCTCCCTGTGAGTCTCTCCCCGCGAGTCTCTCCCCGCGAGTCTCTCCCCGTGAGACTCACCGGGACTCTATCGAGGACTCGCACTGAGCCCTGTGCAGCGACTCTGTGAGGCTCTCCCTGTGAGTCTTTCCCTGTGAGTCCCTACACCATGAGTCTCCGCGAGTCTCTCCCCACGAGTCTCTCCCTGTGAGTCTCTACACCACGAGTCTCTCCCCACGAGTCCCTCCCCGTGAGACTCACCGTGGCTCTATCGAGGACTCGCACTGAGCCCTGTGCAGCGACTCCGTGAGTGTCTCCGAGTGAGTCTTTCCCTGTGAGTCTCTGTGAGTCACCGGGACTCTATCGAGGACTCGCACTGAGCCCTGTGCAGCGACTCTGTGAGGCTCTCCCTGTGAGTCTTTCCCTGTGAGTCCCTACACCATGAGTCTCCGCGAGTCTCTCCCCACGAGTCTCTCCCCGTGAGACTCACCGTGGCTCTATCGAGGACTCGCACTGAGCCCTGTGCAGCGACTCCGTGAGTCTCGAGCTCCTCGGCCAACGTCCAGAGGGGCAGCGCGTCCCAGCGGCCAAACACCACCACGTCGATGTCGCTAGCACAACCACAACAACAACAACCACAACAACAACAATCACCACAACCACAACAACAATCACCACAACCACCACAACAACCACAACAACAACAACTACGGCCACTACAATCACCACCACGTCGATGTCGCTAGCACAACCACAACAACAACAACAACAATCACCACAACAACAACAACAATCACCCCCGCAACTACGGCCACTACAATCACCACCACGTCGATGTCGCTAGCACAACCACCACAACCACAACAACAATCACCAACGCAACTACGACCACTACAAACACCACCAAATCGATGTCGCTAGCACAACCACCACAACCACCACAATCACCACCACAATCACCAACACAATCACCACCGCGTCTATGTCGCTAGCACAACCACCACAACCACCACAACCACCACAATCACCACCACAATCACCAACACAATCACCACCGCGTCGATGTCGCTAGCACAACCACCACAACCACAACAACCACAACAACCACAACAACCACAATCACCACCACAATCACCAACACAATCACCACCACGTCGATGTCGCTAGCACAACAACAACAATCACCCCCGCAACTACGACCACTACAAACACCACCGCGTCGATGTCGCTAGCACAACCACCACAACAACAACAACCACAACAACAACAACCACAACAATCACCCCCGCAACTACGACCACTACAAACACCACCACGTCGATGTCGCTAGCACAACCACCACAACAACAACAACCACAACAACCACAACAGAACAACCACAACAACAATCACCAACGCAACTACGATCACTACAAACACCAACACGTCGATGTCGCTAGCACAACCACCACAACCACCACAATCACCACCACAATCACCACTACAAACACCAACACGTCGATGTCGCTACCACAACCATCAAACAACAACAACCACAACAACAACAACTACGACCACTACAAACACCACCGCGTCGATGACGCTACCACAACCGCCACAACCACAATCACGACCACCACCACCACAATCACTACCACAAGCACAACCACCACAAGCACGACCACATCGGATATCACTACAACCACCCTCAACCACACTACTGCACTACCACCAACATCACCACCATCGCACCTGGTGGGGAGGTAGAGTCCGGTGCTGAAGCTCCCAAAAACCTTGACCTGCAGAGACGCACGCAGCACACGACGAAGACAAAGATCACGGTGACCCTCACGAGGCCGCCAGAGCCTTCACTAGGCCTCAACTAGGCCTCCACTAGACCCTCACGAGGCCATCCAGAGCCTTCACTAGGCCTCAACTAGGCCTCCACTAGACCCTCACTATAACACTCACGAGGCCATCCAGAGCCTTCACTAGGCCTCAACTAGGCCTCCACTAGACCCTCACTATAACACTCACGAGGCCATCCAGAGCCTTCACTAGGCCTCAACTAGGCCTCCACTAGACCCTCACGAGGCCATCCAGAGCCTTCACTAGGCCTCAACTAGGCCTCCACTAGACCCTCACTATAACACTCACGAGGCCATCCAGAGCCTTCACTAGGCCTCAACTAGGCCTCCACTAGACCCTCACTATAACACTCACGAGACCATCCAGAGCCTTCACTAGGCCTCAACTAGGCCTCCACTAGACCCTCACTATAACACTCACGAGGCCATCCAGAGCCTTCACTAGGCCTCAACTAGGCCTCCACTAGACCCTGACTATAATACTCACGAGGCCATCCAGACCCTTCACTAGGCCTCAACTAGGCCTCCACTAGACCCTCACGAGGCCATCCAGAGCTTTCACTAGGCCTCAACTAGGCCTCCACTAGACCCTCACTATAACACTCACGAAGCCGCCAGAGCCTTCACTAGGCCTCAACTACGTCTCTATTAGGCCTTTATTGGGCCTAAACTAGGTCTCCACTGGGTCTCCACTTGGCCTTTATTGGGCCTTCGCAAGGTATCCACTAGGCCTTCACTAGGCCTCCACTAGGCCTTTATTAGACCTCTACTCGGTGTTCACTTGGCCTTCACTGGGCCTTTATTGGGCATCCACTAGATCTCCACTAGGCCTCCACTAAACCTTCACTAGGCCTTTATTGGGACCTCCACTAGGTCTTTATTGGGCCTCCACTAGGTCTCCACTAGGCCTTCACTAGACATTTATTAGACCTCCACTAGGCCTTCACTAGACCTCCACTCGGCCTTCACTGGCCCTTTATTTGGGCCTTCGCTAGGTCTCCACTAGCCCTCCACTAAACCTTCACTAGGCCTTTATTGGGACCTCCACTAGGTCTTTATTGGGCCTCCACTAGGTCTCCACTAGACCTCCACTAGGCCTTCACTGGACATTTATTAGACCTCCACTAGACGTCCACTAGACCTCCACTAGGCCTTTATTGGGACCTCCACTAGGTCTCCACTGGGCCTCCACTAGGTCTCCACTAGACCTCCACTAGGCCTTCACTAGACATTTATTAGACCTCCACTAGGCCTTTATTGGGACTTCCACTAGGTCTCCACTAGACCTCCACTAGGCCTTCACTAGACATTTATTAGACCTCCACTAGGCCTTCACTAGACATTTATTAGATCTCCACTAGACCTCCACTAGGCCTCCACTAGGTCTCCACTGGGCCTCCACTAGACCTTCAAAAGACCTGCACTGGGCCTCCTCAACAAAGATCACACCATGCCACGCGCAGCACACGTCAGGGGATTAACACGCACGCGTGTTTTGATGACCCGAACGGTGATGATGGTGGTGGTGGTGGTGTTCACGTTGGTGATGGTGGTGGCGGTGATAGTGACAGTCTTCATGGTGGTGATGATCGCGGTGATGTGGATGGTGGTGCTGGTGGTGATAGCGATGGTGGTGGTGATGTTGATGGTGGTGATGTTGATGGTGGTGTTGGCGATGGTGTTCATGGTGGTGATGGTGGTGGGGAGCGGTAGGGTAGCGGTTAGCTCGCTCGCGCTACGAACCCGGCGGACCCGAGATTCCCGCTCACGGCCAACACCAGTGGCGATTTTATGAACCGGTCTTTAGCCTCCCTTAGGTCGACTCAAATGAGTACCTGGTGCGGTGTGTCAACATCGCCACTGGGGAGACAAAGGCGGCCGGGCGTGGTGCTGGCCACCCACCGCCTCGTGTGGCATCCCGGCCTTCATAGGTACTCGCTAACAGCACTTGCCCCGGACAGTCTGTTAAGGCTACACGGGGGAATTTTTGATGATGATGATGATGGTGGTGGTGATGATAACGATGTTGGTGATGATGGCAATGGTGCTGGAGATAGTGGTGGTGGTGATATTGGTCATGGTGGTGGTGATTGTGGTGATGTTGATGGTGGTGGTGGTGGTGATGGTGGAGCACCGGGTGGCTAAAGCACAGCAGGTTGGCACAGCAGGGGGCACATGTGGTGGTGCATCGGCCACTCAGTCGGTCGACCCGTGGCACCTGCTGGGTCTGCCCCGTGACCTCCTGCCGGCGGGCGTTCGACACTTCACGTGGCCTCAACCTCAACGTGCACCCAGCCTGGCACAGGCGCCGTGGTGACGTCACCGCCGCTTAAGTGACGGTGACGTCGGTTGTTGGTGGTGATGGTGGTGGTGATCGTGGTGGTGGTGGTGATGGGGACCAGTTCAAGTCACCTGGGCTGTGGGCCATAGCTGGAGAACCACGTGACTGATTCGCTTGACGACCCCTGACCTCATCCTCTGCTCCTCAGGGCGCGGCTGCGAATACTCGTAGAAGTCCTGCACCTCCTCGTGCAGACTGGAGACACGGGGACACGGGGACACGGGGTCATGGGGTGTGTGTGGTGTATCGCTGTGTGTGTGGTGTATCGCTGTGTGTGTGGTGTATCGCTGTGTGTATCGCTGTGTGTGGTGTATCACTGTGTGGTGTGGTGTATCGCTATGTGTATCGCTGTGTGTGGTGTATCACTGTGTGTAGTATATCACTATGTGTATCACTATGTGTATCACTGTGTGTATCACTATGTGTGTGGTGTATCACTGTGTGTATCACTATGTGTGTGGTGTATCACTGTGTGTATCACTATGTGTGTGGTGTATCACTATGTGTATCGCTGTGTGTGGTGTATCACTGTGTGTAGTGTATCACTATGTGTATCACTGTGCGTAGTGTATCACTATGTGTATCACTGTGTGTGGTGTATCACTATGTGTATCACTATGTGTGTGGTGTATCACTATGTGTATCACTGTTTGTGGTGTATCACTGTATCACTGTGTGTATCACTGTATCACTATGTGTATCACTGTATCACTATGTATATCACTGTATCACTATGTGGTGTATCACTATGTGGTGTATCACTATGTGTATCACTGTGTGGTGTATCACTGTATCACTATGCGGTGTATCACTGTGTGGTGTATCACTGTATCACTGTGTGTATCACTGTATCACTATGCGGTGTATCACTGTGTGTATCACTGTATCACTGTGTGTATCACTGTATCACTATGTGGTGTATCACTGTATCACTGTGTGTATCACTGTATCACTGTGTGTATCACTGTATCACTATGTGGTGTATCACTGTATCACTGTGTGTATCACTGTATCACTGTGTGGTGTATCACTGTGTGTATCACTGTATCACTGTGTGTATCACTGTATCACTATGTGTATCACTGTATCACTATGCGGTGTATCACTGTGTGTATCACTGTATCACTGTGCGGTGTATCACTGTATCACTGTGCGGTGTATCACTGTATCACTATGTGTATCACTATGTGTATCACTGTGTGTATCACTGTATCACTGTGTGTATCACTGTATCACTATGTGTATCACTGTATCACTGTGTGGTGTATCACTGTATCACTATGTGTATCACTGTATCACTGTGCGGTGTATCACTGTATCACTATGTGTATCACTGTGTGTATCACTGTATCACTGTGTGTATCACTGTATCACTATGTGTATCACTGTGTGTATCACTGTGTATCACTGTTTGTGGTGTATCACTGTATCACTGTGTGTATCACTGTATCACTGTGTGGTGTATCACTGTGTGTATCACTGTATCACTGTGTGTATCACTGTATCACTATGTGGTGTATCACTGTATCACTGTGTGTATCACTGTATCACTGTGTGGTGTATCACTGTGTGTATCACTGTATCACTGTGTGTATCACTGTATCACTATGTGTATCACTGGATCACTATGTGTATCACTGTATCACTATGTGGTGTATCACTGTATCACTGTGCGGTGTATCACTGTATCACTGTGTGTGGTGTATAACTGTATCACTGTGTGGTGTATCACTGTGTGGTGTATCACTGTATCACTGTGTGGTGTATCACTGTATCACTATGTGTATCACTGTATCACTATGTGTATCACTGTATCACTATGTGGTGTATCACTGTATCACTGTGCGGTGTATCACTGTATCACTGTGTGGTGTATCACTGTGTGGTGTATCACTGTATCACTGTGTGGTGTATCACTGTATCACTATGTGTATCACTGTATCACTGTGTGTATCACTGTATCACTATGTGGTGTATCACTGTATCACTGTGTGTATCACTGTATCACTATGTGGTGTATCACTGTGTGGTGTATCACTGTATCACTGTGTGGTGTATCACTGTATCACTATGTGGTGTATCACTGTATCACTGTGTGTATCACTGTATCACTATGTGGTGTATCACTGTATCACTGTGTGTATCACTGTATCACTATGTGGTGTATCACTATGTGGTGTATCACTGTATCACTGTGTGTATCACTGTATCACTATGTGGTGTATCACTGTGTGGTGTATCACTGTATCACTGTGTGGTGTATCACTGTATCACTGTGTGTATCACTGTATCACTATGTGGTGTATCACTGTGTGGTGTATCACTGTATCACTGTGTGTATCACTGTATCACTGTGTGGTGTATCACTGTATCACTATGTGTATCACTGTGTGTATCACTGTGTGGTGTATCACTGTGTCACTGTGTGGTGTATCGGTCTTTGTGTATCTGCCACGTGCCCGAGCACCCCCTCCGCGTAGGCCCTACGGCACCACGGGGTACCCCCAGGACCCCCCGGCTGAGCCCGGAGCAGCCCCACGTAGCTGGTGTCGCTCGCAGGATCCCGGCCAGAGCCCCTCGACGCACGGCACCGCCCGGCCACCGCCACCGCTCTGCCACCCCTCCTCTCCTCCTCCTCGTCCTCCTCCTCCTCGTCGTCGTCGCCGCTGCCATCGCACTCCAGAGGAACAAAGTCGCGCTGGCGCATTGCTGACGGTGGTGGTGGTGGTGGCTCCCTGGGGGTGGGGGGGGTGGTGGTGAGGGTGGTGGTGGTGAGGATGGTGGAGGGGGGCGTATCGGTGTGAGTCTCTGCGTGAGTCTGTGAGTCTCTGTGTGAGTCTATGAGTATCTGTGTGAGTCTGTGAGTCTGTGAGTCTCTGCGTGAGTCTGTGAGTCTCTGCGTGAGTCTGTGAGTCTCTGTGTGAGTCTATGAGTCTGTGTGAGTCTGTGAGTCTGTGTGAGTCTGTGAGTCTGTGTGAGTCTGTGAGTCTGTGTGAGTCTGTGAGTCTCTGTTTGAGTCTATGAGTATCTGTGTGAGTCTGTGAGTCTGTGTGAGTCTGTGAGTCTGTGTGAGTCTGTGAGTCTGTGAGTCTGTGTGAGTCTGTGAGTCTCTGTTTGAGTCTATGAGTCTCTGTGTGAGTCTGAGTCTATGAGCCTCTGTGTGAGTCTCTGAGTCTCTGTGTGAGTCTATGAGTCTCTGTTTGAGTCTCTGTTTGAGTCTATGAGTATCTGTGTGAGTCTCTGAGTCTCTGCGTGAGTCTATGAGTCTCTGTTTGAGTCTCTGTTTGAGTCTATGAGTATCTGTGTGAGTCTATGAGTCTGTGTGAGTCTGTGAGTCTCTGTTTGAGTCTATGAGTCTGTGTGAGTCTGTGAGTCTCTGTGTGAGTCTATGAGTATCTGTGTGAGTCTGTGAGTCTGTGAGTCTCTGTTTGAGTCTATGAGTATCTGTGTGAGTCTATGAGTCTGTGTGAGTCTGTGAGTCTCTGTTTGAGTCTATGAGTCTGTGTGAGTCTGTGAGTCTGTGTGAGTCTGTGAGTCTCTGTTTGAGTCTATGAGTATCTGTGTGAGTCTATGAGTCTGTGTGAGTCTGTGAGTCTCTGTTTGAGTCTATGAGTATCTGTGTGAGTCTGTGTGAGTCTGTGAGTCTGTGTGAGTCTGTGAGTCTCTGTTTGAGTCTATGAGTCTCTGTGTGAGTCTGAGTCTATGAGTCTCTGTGTGAGTCTCTGAGTCCCTGCGTGAGTCTATGAGTCTCTGTTTGAGTCTCTGTTTGAGTCTATGAGTATCTGTGTGAGTCTGTGAGTCTCTGTTTGAGTCTATGAGTATCTGTGTGAGTCTGTGAGTCTGTGTGAGTCTGTGAGTCTCTGCGTGAGTCTGTGAGTCTCTGTGTGAGTCTGTGAGTCTCTGCGTGAGTCTGTGAGTCTCTGTTTGAGTCTATGAGTATCTGTGTGAGTCTGTGAGTCTCTGTTTGAGTCTATGAGTATCTGTGTGAGTCTATGAGTCTGTGTGAGTCTGTGAGTCTCTGTTTGAGTCTATGAGTATCTGTGTGAGTCTGTGAGTCTGTGTGAGTCTGTGAGTCTCTGCGTGAGTCTGTGAGTCTTTGTGTGAGTCTGAGTCTATGAGTCTCTGTGTTAGTCTCTGAGTCTCTGTGTGAGTCTGAGTCTCTGTGTGAGTCTATGAGTCTCTGAGTCTCTGTGTGAGTCTATGAGTCTCTGAGTCTCTGTGTGAGTCTCTGAGTCTCTGTATGAGCCTCTGAGTCTCTGTGTGAGTCTCTGAGTCTCTGTGTGAGTCTCTGAGTCTCTGTGTGAGTCTCTGAGTCTCTGTGTGAGTCTTTGTGTGAGTCTGAGTGAGTCTCTGTGTGAGTCTCTGAGTCTCTGTGTGAGTCTCTGTGTGAGTCTGAGTCTGTGAGTCTCTGTGCGAGTCTCTGTGTGAGTCTCTGTGTGAGTCTGAGTCTCTGAGTCTCTGTGTGAGTCTGTGTGAGTCTCTGAGTCTCTGTGTGAGTCTATGAGTCTCTGTGTGAGTCTATGAGTCCCTGAGTCTCTGTTTGAGTCTATGAGTCTCTGTGTGAGTCTATGAGTCTCTGTGTGAGTCTATGAGTCTCTGAGTCTCTGTGTGAGTCTATGAGTCTCTGAGTCGCTGTGTGAGTCTCTGAGGCTCTGTGTGAGTCTCTGTGTGAGTCTGAGTCTCTGTGTGAGTCTATGAGTCTCTGTGTGAGTATATGAGTCTCTGTGTGAGTCTATGAGTCTTTGTGTGAGTCTGAGTGAGTCTCTATGTGAGTCTCTGAGTCTCTGTGTGAGTCTCTGTGTGAGTCTCTGTGTGAGTCTGAGTCTGTGAGTCTCTGTGCGAGTCTCTGAGTCTCTGTGCGAGTCTGTGAGCCTCTGTGTGAGTCTGTGAGTCTCTGGGTCTCTGTGTGAGTCTCTGTGTGAGTCTCTGTGCGAGTCTCTGTGTGAGTTTGTGAGTCTCTGTGTGAGTCTCTGCATGAGTCTATGAGTCTCTGTGTGAGTCTGTGAGTCTCTGTGCGAGTCTCTGAGTCTCTGTGTGAGTCTCTGTGCGAGTCTCTGTGTGAGTCTCTGAGTCTCTGTGTGAGTCTGAGTCTCTGTGTGAGTCTATGAGTCTCTGAGTCTCTGTGTGAGTCTGAGTCTCTGAGTCTCTGTGTGAGTCTATGAGTCTCTGAGTCTCTGTGTGAGTCTATGAGTCTCTGGGTCTCTGTGTGAGTCTATGAGTCTCTGAGTCTTTGTGTGAGTCTGAGTGAGTCTCTGTGTGAGTCTCTGTGTGAGTCTCTGAGTCTCTGTGTGAGTCTCTATGTGAGTCTGAGTCTCTGAGTCTCTGTGTGAGTCTGAGTCTCTGTGTGAGTCTATGAGTCTCTGTGTGAGTCTATGAGTCTCTGAGTCTCTGTGTGAGTCTCTGTGTGAGTCTCTGTGTGAGACTCTGTGTGAGTCTATGAGTCTCTGTGTGAGTCTATGAGTCTCTGTGTGAGTCTCTGTGTGAGTCTCTGTGTGAGTCTCTGAGTCTTTGTGTGAGTCTGAGTGAGTCTCTGTGTGAGTCTCTATGTGAGTCTGAGTCTGTGAGTCTCTGTGTGAGTCTCTGAGTCTTTGTGTGAGTCTGAGTGAGTCTCTGTGTGAGTCTCTGTGTGAGTCTGAGTCTGTGAGTCTCTGTGTGAGTCTCTGAGTCTCTGTGTGAGTCTCTGTGTGAGTCTGAGTCTCTGTGTGAGTCTCTATGTGAGTCTGAGTCTCTGTGTGAGTCTCTGTGTGAGTCTGAGTCTGTGAGTCTCTGTGTGAGTCTATGAGTCTGTGAGTCTCTGTGTGAGTCTCTGTGTGAGTCTGAGTCTGTGAGTCTCTGTGTGAGTCTATGAGTCTGTGAGTCTCTGTGTGAGTCTCTATGTGAGTCTGAGTCTGTGAGTCTCTGTGTGAGTCTGAGTCTCTGTGTGAGTCTGAGTGAGTCTCTGTGTGAGTCTATGAGTCTGTGAGTCTCTGTGTGAGTCTCTGTGTGAGTCTATGAGTCTTTGAGTCTCTGTGTGAGTCTGAGTCTCTGTGTGAGTCTGAGTGAGTCTCTGTGTGAGTCTATGAGTCTGTGAGTCTCTGTGTGAGTCTCTGTGTGAGTCTGAGTCTGTGAGTCTCTGAGTCTCTGTGTGAGTCTCTGTGTGAGTCTCTGAGACTCTGTGTGAGTCTCTGTGTGAGTCTCTGTGTGAGTCTCTGAGTCTCTGTGTGAGTCTCTATGTGAGTCTGAGTCTGTGAGTCTCTGTGTGAGTCTCTGTGTGAGTCTGAGTCTGTGAGTCTCTGTGTGAGTCTATGAGTCTGTGAGTCTCTGTGTGAGTCTCTGTGTGAGTCTGAGTCTGTGAGTCTCTGTGTGAGTCTATGAGTCTGTGAGTCTCTGTGTGAGTCTCTGTGTGAGTCTGAGTCTGTGAGTCTCTGTGTGAGTCTATGAGTCTGTGAGTCTCTGTGTGAGTCTCTGTGTGAGTCTCTGTGTGAGTCTGAGTCTGTGAGTCTCTGTGTGAGTCTATGAGTCTGTGAGTCTCTGTGTGAGTCTGAGTCTCTGTGTGAGTCTGAGTCTGTGAGTCTCTGTGTGAGTCTATGAGTCTGTGAGTCTCTGTGTGAGTCTCTATGTGAGTCTGAGTCTGTGAGTCTCTGTGTGAGTCTCTATGTGAGTCTGAGTCTGTGAGTCTCTGTGTGAGTCTATGAGTCTGTGAGTCTCTGTGTGAGTCTCTGTGTGAGTCTGAGTCTGTGAGTCTCTGTGTGAGTCTATGAGTCTGTGAGTCTCTGTGTGAGTCTCTATGTGAGTCTGAGTCTGTGAGTCTCTGTGTGAGTCTGAGTCTCTGTGTGAGTCTGTGTGAGTCTCTGTGTGAGTCTATGAGTCTGTGAGTCTCTGTGTGAGTCTGAGTCTCTGTGTGAGTCTGTGTGAGTCTCTGTGTGAGTCTATGAGTCTGTGAGTCTCTGTGTGAGTCTGAGTCTCTGTGTGAGTCTCTATGTGAGTCTGAGTCTGTGAGTCTCTGTGCGAGTCTCTGTGTGAGTCTCTGTGTGAGTCTGAGTCTGTGAGTCTCTGTGTGAGTCTCTATGTGAGTCTGAGTCTGTGAGTCTCTGTGCGAGTCTGTTACTGTACGCACCGCGTCCCCCACGTGCGCTGTTCTCCGCGCGTACAGTCCCTGCACTGTCCCGCACTGTCCATGTGCTCCAGGCCCCGCCCCCAATGGGGGTCGCCGCCCCCCCCTTCTTGCCCCTCCTCGCGCGCGCCGACGGCCCCGCCTATTTTCACCTTTCGCCCAATCAGCGCGGGGCGCCCACGCCGCATGAAGTCTCCGTTTCATATTCTTAGCTCTTTCGGTAAAGTCACGTTGAAGGGAAACAATAAAATAATAATAAAATATATATAAAACAATATAAAAAAATATCACGACGTTTCGAGCATAACACAAACGGTCGTCATCAGGTGTGTCGGTTTGCATAAATTTATTTATTTTTAAACGGTATATTTATTTATTTATAAATAAAAAACGTCAGCGCCACGCGCAGCGATTTGTCAGTTTGTTTAGAAGGACGAGTCCATCTATGTTCTGAAAAGAGGAGGGGGGGAGACGAAAAATTAATGCATGCTGTCTGAAAGCCACCGAAAGCGTGAACAATCATATTCTCAGCTCTTTCGGTAAAGTCACGTTGAAGGGAAACAATAAAATAACACCTACTTAGTTTGTAGACACCATTGGAGAAACCAAACGCCATGTCTCGGACCGCATTCGTGAACACAAAGCAGACCTTAAATACGGTAGGACCAACACCTCGGCCGTGGCAGATCATTGTTATAATTCAGTAGGCTCACATGACATTGACTTCTCCAAGACAGAGGTTCTTTATAAGCCATCTGGCTACCATGAGAGATTCGTTCATGAGGCTATCCAAATATACAAGCACAGAGACAATTTCAACCGAGAAGATGGATTCTGGCTTAGCAATCATTGGAAGGATTTGATAAACCATTTCAGGTCTTAATTGATTGTTCACGCTTACGGTGGCTTTCAGACAGCATGCATTAATTTTTCGTCTCCCCCCCTCCTCTTTTCAGAACATAGATGGACTAGTCCTTCTAAACAAACTGCCAAATCGCTGCGCGTGGCGCTGACGTTTTTAAATAAATAACTAAATACACCGTTTAAAAATAAATAAATTAATGCAAACCGACACACCTGATGACGACCGTTTGTGTTATGGTCAAAACGTCGTGAGAATTTTTTTTATTGTTTTATATATTGTATTATTTTATTGTTTCCCTTCAACGTGGTGACTTTACCGAATGAGCTAAGAATATGAATTACTGCAGTCACGAAAGCTTTAAATCAAAATTTAAAAGTCCCCGTTTAGTTTGTTCCCATCGGCCAATCAGGCGCAGGGGGTGGGTATGTGGTGACGTCACGCGGCGAGTGCAGTGGGGGTGACGTCTGTGGACGCGAGGCCGCCATCTTACCTAGGGAGACTCACAGCCTATGGGCGTCTCTGTGTGTGAGCCTATGGGACTATGAGTCTCTGTGTGAGCCTATGAGTCTCTGTGTGAGCCTATGAGTCTCTGTGTGTGTATCTGTGGGACTATGGGTCTCTGTGTGAGCTTATGAGTCTCTGTGTGTGAGCCTGTGGGACTATGGGTCTTTGAGCCTGTTAGTCCCTGTGTGAGTCTATAGTCTCTGCGTGAGCCTATGAGTCTCTGTGTGAGTCTATATGTCTCTGTGTGTGAGCCTGTGTGAGTCTAAAAGTCTCCGTGGGAGCCTGAGTCTGTGCGTGAGTCTGTAGGTCTCTGTGTGAGTCTATAGGTCTCTGTGTGAGTCTGTAGGTGTCTGTGTGAGTCTGTAGGTCTCTGTGTGAGTCTCTGTGTGAGTCTATATGTCTCTTTTTGAGTCTGTAGGTGTCTGTGTGAGTCTGTAGGTGTTTGTGTGAGTCTGTAGGTGTCTGTGTGAGTCTATGAGTCTCTGTGTGAGTCTACAGGTCTCTGTGTGAGTCTGTAGGTGTCTGAGTCTGTAGGTCTTTGTGTGAGTCTATAGGTCTCTGTGTGAGTCTGTATGTGTCTGAGTCTGTAGGTCTCTGTGTGAGTCTCTGTGTGAGTATATATGTCTCTTTTTGAGTCTGTAGGTGTCTGTGTGAGTCTGTAGGTGTTTGTGTGAGTCTGTAGGTCTCTGTGTGAGTCTATGAGTCTCTGTGTGAGTCTCTGTGTGAGTCTATAGGTCTCTGTGTGAGTCTACAGGTCTTTGTGTGAGCCTCTGTGTGAGTCTGTAGGTCTCTGTGTGAGTCTATGAGTCTCTGTGTGAGTCTATAGGTCTCTGAGTCTCTGTGTGAGTCTGTAGGTCTCTGTGTGAGTCTACAAGTCTCTGTGTGAGTCTCTGTGTTAGGCTATAGGTCTCTGTGTGAGCCTGTTAGTCTTTGTGTGAGTCTATAGGTCTCTGTGTGAGTCTGAGTCTATAGGTCTCTGTGTGAGTCTATAGGTCTCTGTGTGTGCCAGTGAGTCTATGAGTATCTGAGTGAGTGAGTAGTCTATGAGTCTCTGTGTGAGTGAGTGGTCTATGAGTCTCTGTGTGAGTGAGTAGTCTATGAGTCTCTGTGTGAGTGAGTAGTCTATGAGTCTCTGAGTGAGTGAGTAGTCTATGAGTCTCTGTGTGAGTGAGTAGTCTGAGTCTCTGAGTGAGTAGTCTACGAGTCTCTGAGTGAATGAGTAGTCTATGAGTCTGAGTGAGTGAGTAGTTTATGAGTCTCTGTGTGAGTGAGTAGTCTGAGTCTCTGAGTGAGTAGTCTATGAGTCTCTGAGTGAGTGAGTGGTCTATGAGTCTCTGAGTGAGTAGTCTATGAGTCTCTGAGTGAGTGAGTAGTCTATGAGTCTCTGTGTGAGTGAGTAGTCTATGAGTCTCTGAGTGAGTGAGTAGTCTATGAGTCCGTGTGGGTGAGTAGTCTATGAGTCTGTGTGAGTATTCTATGAGTCTCTGAGTGAGTGAGTAGTCTGAGTCTCTGAGTGAGTAGTATATAAGTCTCTGAGTGAGTAGTCTATGAGTCTCTGAGTGAGTGAGTAGTCTGTGAGTCTCTGAGTGAGTAGTCTATGAGTCTCTGAGTGAGTTGTCTATGAGTTTCTGAGTGAGTAGTCTATGAGTCTCTGAGTGAGTGAGTTGTCTATGAGTCTCTGAGTGGGTAGTCTATGAGTCTCTGAGTGAGTAAGTTGTCTATGAGTCTCTGAGTGAGTAGTCTATGAGTCTCTGAGTGAGTGAGTAGTCTATGAGTCTCTGTGTGAGTGAGTAGTCTGAGTCTCTGAGTGAGTGAGTAGTCTATGAGTCTCTGTGTGAGAGACTAGTCTATGAGTCTCTGAGTGAGTGAGTAGTCTATGAGTCTCTGTGTGAGTGAGTAGTCTGAGTCTCTGAGTGAGTAGTATATAAGTCTCTGAGTGAGTAGTCTATGAGTCTCTGAGTGAGTGAGTAGTCTATGAGTCTCTGTGTGAGTGAGTAGTCTGAGTCTCTGAGTGAGTAGTATATAAGTCTCTGAGTGAGTAGTCTATGAGTCTCTGAGTGAGTGAGTAGTCTATGAGTCTCTGAGTGAGTAGTCTATGAGTCTCTGAGTGAGTTGTCTATGAGTTTCTGAGTGAGTAGTCTATGAGTCTCTGAGTGAGTGAGTTGTCTATGAGTCTCTGAGTGAGTGAGTAGTCTATGAGTCTCTGAGTGAGTGAGTAGTCTATGAGTCTCTGAGTGAGTAGTCTATGAGTCTCTGAGTGAGTAGTCTATGATTCTCTGAGTGAGTGAGTAGTCTATGAGTCTCTGAGTGAGTAGTCTATGAATCTCTGAGTGAGTGAGTTGTCTATGAGTCTCTGTGTGAGTGAGTAGTCTATGAGTCTCTGAGTGAGTGAGTAGTCTATGAGTCTCTGAGTGAGTAGTCTATGAGTCTCTGAGTGAATGAGTAGTCTTTGATTCTCTGAGTGAGTGAATAGTCTATGAGTCTCTGAGTGAGTAGTCTATGAGTCTCTGAGTGAGTAGTCTATGAGTCTCTGAGTGAGTGAGTTGTCTATGAGTCTCTGAGTGAGTGAGTAGTCTATGAGTCTCTGAGTGAGTGAGTAGTCTATGAGTCTCTGAGTGAGTAGTCTATGAGTCTCTGAGTGAATGAGTAGTCTTTGATTATCTGAGTGAGTGAGTAGTCTGATTCTCTGAGTGAGTGAGTAGTCTATGAGTCTCTGAGTGGGTAGTCTATGAGTCTCTGAGTGAGTAAGTTGTCTATGAGTCTCTGAGTGAGTAGTCTATGAGTCTCTGTGTGAGTGATCACTCTATGAGTCTCTGTGTGAGTGAGTAGTCTATGAGTCTCTGAGTGATTAGTCTATGAGTCTCTGAGTGAGTGAGTAGTCTATGAGTCTCTGTGTGAGTGAGTAGTCTATGAGTCTCTGAGTGAGTGAGTAGTCTATGAGTCTCTGAGTGAGTGAGTAGTCTATGAGTCTGTGTGGGTGAGTAGTCTATGAGTCTGTGTGAGTATTCTATGAGTCTCTGAGTGAGTGAGTAGTCTATGAGTCTCTGAGTGAGTGATTACTCTATGAGTCTCTGAGTGAGTGAGTAGTCTATGAGTAGGAATAGGTTTTACCCTTTTAACTGGCACAAAAACTGACACCTTTATTCAAGGCATCATGTTTGCAATAACCACAACACAAGCAATCAAAATGCAAACAAAAAAGACAACTCTGATAATGATATTGGCACTGTCCTTGAATTTGATTGGTCCACACCCGAGACGGCTTTTCTTAGAGCCTAGTCTCCACTGGTGTTGGACCAGAAGACGCCAAAAGGCGTACAACTCAAAAACAGCGCACCATCAGAGTATTGAGGGCTCGGGGTGAGCATTTACATTATGAGACCTCCTTTGCCAGTAACAAGATCTTGTTACTTGATTAGGCTTGACTAGGCATCTAAGAAAAGCCGTCTCGGGTGTGGACCAATCAAATTCAAGGACAGTGCCAATATTATCAGAGTTGTCTTTTTTGTTTGCATTTTGACTGCTTGTGTTGTGGTTATTGCAAACATGATGCCTTGAATAAAGGTGTCAGTTTTTGTGCTAGTTAAAAGGGTAAAACCTATTCCTATATCTTGTTACTGCCAAAGGAGGTCTCATAATGTAAATAGTCTATGAGTCTCTGAGTGAGTGATCACTCTATGAGCCTCTGAGTGAGTGAGTAGTCTATGAGTCTCTGAGTGAGTGAGTAGTCTATGAGTCTCTGAGTGAGTGATCACTCTATGAGTCTCTGTGTGAGTGAGTAGTCTGAGTCTCTGAGTGAGTGAGTAGTCTATGAGGCTC